ATTTTTCTCATGTGTGCACAATTTTGTCTCACGAGATCTTATCCCTATGAAATGGTGACACAAATATACAGTTTTTAATATTATGTTGCCTTTTATACTATAAATCAAAAGCAACTCAATGTAAAAGTATTTTAAGAACTCAGAATACAGTACTCTAATTGGACCTTGTTACAAAGTACATTTTAATGCAGGTATTCAGTATTCTGTAACCAAACTCATTTTCAAAGTATTCTTCAATCATGTTTACAGAGCATCAGCATATTTCTCTGTATCTACACAGCAAAAAGTGGAGTGTTAAACTTGACTCTCACAGAATCAACTTTAACATTTTCTCAGAGTTTATATGAGTTCAATCTGTTCTAGAGTTAATTTTACATTTTTGGAAATGCTAATTAAGTAACACTGGACCAAAGTTCCTGTTTAACCCCAAAATCCAGAGTTATTTTAACGTTTTGAGAGTAAACAGATAACACTTTGTACAGTTCCTGATTTAGCTAAACAATGCACAGAGCTGTTTTATTTTATTTATACTTTATTTTAGTTAATTTAAGATGAAATTATGAACAAAACTGGTTCAAACTGGTCTTCTCTTGCAAGAGTTTGAAGTGGTGAATGGGAGGAGCCAAATTAACACTAAGAGAAGTTGAATTAACACTAAAGGAAGATGAATTAACACTAGAGGAAGTTGAATTAACCTCAACCACATCAACTCTGGCAAATAACCCCAACTCGAACCCACATTTAACTTTCAAATAGTTAAAATAACACTTTTGGTGTTAAAAACAACTCTGAAATATTTTACAGTAAAATTTGAACCATCCAGTTTTTGTTGTGTAGCGATTACTTGTATTTAAGATGTCTGTTAGTAGAAAATTGTTAATTAATGAGTTATTTTGCTATATAGGCATTCTCACAGTTACAAAGCTGAATGTATACTGACTGAAATCTGCCCAGTTGCATGCATTGTTAGTGCCGGTTGATTAACGCTTTGATTACAGTGATGCAATCAATACAAACAAAACACTCAAGCTTTAGGCCTGAACAGAGCTACATACTCCAGACTTAAGCCGATGACCGAAACCATGGACTTATTTAAATTGGTCAGTAAGACGACTCTAATATTGCTCTGTTTTCTGATCTGTTATAATGTTGTTTCCTCATCATAAACATAACTGGAGTTGTGTTTTGTTTCATTCACATATGTTTAACACACAAATCCTGCATATTGAGTCTGAGTTCTTCTCTCAAATGGAAAACACTCTTATCCACAAGTGCTCCACTGTGTTTTGAAACTCTATACACCTTCACTGGATACATTTGGATAATTTCAGACCTGCAATAGCCAATCTCTACTCAACTAAAGGTAAAAGGTTAGGGTGACTATGTTTTCAAAATAAAAAGCTGTAACATCTCAGTTTGTGGTGATTGGTAATGGTAAAATTGTGAAAACTAGTGCGTAATTAAGGAGAACTGCACTCGGCTCATCCATGACTAACATGTGAATCAGTATGGTCACATTTTCTTTGTGTTTTGATCATTTTTAAGAGGCCTTTTTGTATTTAACCTAAACAAATGACAATGTATGCCTCTCTTTACCGTTTACAGGGATCAGATTGGTTCAAAATAAGGACACCTGGGACATTTCTTGTATAAAACTGGAATAAATCAGTGGTTTTGAATCAGTCTGCTGGGGCTGGGGACACAGGGCTCAAAACTGGGACTGTCCCAGAGAAATAGGTACGTCTGGTCACTCTATAAAAGGTAGCTGTTAACTTGAAAACTTCATGACGTCATAAGGTGGAAGAGAGTTTTTTGAGCTTTAGAGATGTAAATAATCCAATAATGTAGGCTTATTCAAACGTGTGTGACTAAAATGAACTAAGATAACAATATTATAACATGAATTAAAGCTCACAAGAGACAATTTTGCATAATATAGGACCTTTAATGAGCTCCTGGTTTTGCTGAATACGGTTTTGCTTATTCATAAATGCCTGTCTTTGCAGAATGGTGGAATATTTCACCGTGATGTTTTTGTAGCATGGTCTACACAATCGCACGCATTCTTCATAAGATTAAAAAGACGATGAAATAGCACATTATTCCTTCCGTATCTGGACCCTCCGCGATGTCCTGTGAGCTCCATCATTTTCGTAAAGGCCTAATTTTACCACACGTGTTCTGAACACTCAATTTAAGGACATACACTAATCTCACAACACTGTAATATAACCTCGCTTCCTATTGGTCCACTCAGCCAGCAATCAAAGCCACGGACCAATCAGAGTCCAGAATACATCACGAGGGCGGATATTTTCGCCGTGTACAGTATGCTGCAAAAACTGTTGATATTTTTTACATTTATCGCAGAAAACGAAGGTGAACAAGAGATCAGCTGTCCCATGCTTTGAGGTAAGTGTTGTTTTAGTTTCACGTTAAATTTGAGTAACATTTTATCTCGGATCATCGCGGTCAAACACAGGAAGCTTTTAACAAGTAGCGTTAGTGACTGAAATGAAGGGAATAGTGAGTGGACATGTAGTTCAGAGTTGTTTGATTTCTATCGCCCTCGGGAGATTTCGGTCATGTTTTGTAGACTTGCATGTAGCTAAAATCTGAAGTTTGAGGACGGTGCAAGCTGTAGGCCAGTGCTCTCTGCGTGTGGCTGTGAGCACTTTGCGAACCGGGGGAGGGGAGGGATAGAGGCGAGAGACACTTCTTCTACCGCAAGGAAAACGAAAGTCATTTTAGAAGCATTATGTGACTGAACAAGTTTGTGTTTCGGCGAGAATTAGGACGTGTTGTTATCGTTTTTGTGTGTTGTGGAAGAAGTTTGTCTTTTACCCCCGATAACATTCATCATTCGGGTAAAGTAGACGGTGAATGGTCAAGACGCGCAAAGCAGCACGAGCCACTTCCGGTTTGGGCAACAAATTAAAAGAGAATCAAATCATGTTTCGTAAATCTTTTTAAAATTGGTATATTTGGACTCTCTAGAAATTATAGGATTTTTGTGTAGTAGTAGGGTTTATTAAAGGGTCTATATTACGCTATTTTCTGATCTGTGTTATAATAATGTTGTTCCCTCATCAAAAAACATACCTGGAGTTGTGTTTTGATTCATTCAACACACAAACTCTACATAATCAGGCTGTGTTCTTCTCTCAAACAAAAAACACTCTGTTATGATGTCATGTGGTAATGAAAGAAGTGCTCCACTGTGGGTTTTAATCTCCACACACCTTCACAAGAATCATTTGGAGGATTTCAGCCCTGAAATTGCTGATCTTTACTGAACTAAAGGTACAATTAGTTGTTAACTTGAAAACTACCGTTTGATGACATCAAACAAGGTGGAACAGAGCAGTCTGAGATGCAGATGCACCAATAATCCAGGATTAGTCAAATGTGCGACTGAAACAAAACACACCTCCGCAACTAGCCTATGTTTTTGAGGAGGCAACATAAAGACTAAAGTCAATTTTATATCAATTTTATAGTCAATTTTATATAATATAGAAATTTTTCACATTCTCGCACATTAAATAAATAGCCTATAAACTTTACAATAAGCCCTGAAAACCCATCTCATCAAAAAACCCATTCAGTAACTTTGTCTTCTGTGTATCTATTTGTTTCCTTAAAGATGCACTGTGCTAATTTCTGGCTGGGTGTCTGTCACCTTCCTGTTTTTTTTTCTGTGTCATTGTTCTGCCTTGCATGTTTCACAGTATGAATAAATGTAAGGTAGAGCTGTTATGTCAATTACAGACCTGTAACTTGGTCTGGTTTGGTCTCCATGACAGTATTGAATTAAACTCCATGAAAGGTTTAATGCCATACTGAGAAACATTCCAAACAACTTACATCTCCATAGAGAAAAGCATTTGACAGGCCCTCCACCAGAAAAGTAACATAATGTACCTTTAAGTAATGCGTCTTTGGTATCTTGAAAAGCACTGTTTATGTGTTATGTAATATTATTTTAAATGATAATTAAAATCAACAGAGCTGAACTGAATACACATAAATCACATAATCAAAGTGAAAACACAGTATGGCAGCCGGGTACATTTCATCACAGCAACTGGGGCTCAGTACTTTGCATGTCCCCCACATACGTCTCTACAGGATTTACAACCACCCATCCTCCAGGGACCAAGGACGGTACTTTGGGGTTTCATCTCCCAGATCTGGAACAGAGGAACAGAGGAACAGATATCATGGAGCGTTTGAAGTTTTACCTGGAAACACAAGAAGAGTCCAAATATAATGTCCCAATAAAATAAATAGCCTACTTGTTATTGTTGTGTATCGTCTATGCCACTGACCGATTAATCGACTAAACAGCTGAAAGAAAGCTGCAGCCTCTCGTCCTGCTCCTCTTTCTACAGAGAGACAGTAGTGATCTTGTTTTTTGGTTGTGGACTTTCTCCAGCCCTGCTCACAATACCTGCTTGTCTACAGAACCGTCCTCTGCTCTGAGACTGAGCTGGGAAACTCTTTGGCAATGGCATTTTGAGTTGTACCACCTCCACAGGGTCCAGGTATCCTATTCTAGTGATGATGCTGAGCCCGCCCATCATGATGCAAAAACTAATGAAAAAATATAATTGTTTTTTGTAGCATATTTTATGTAACACAATAAAATAATACAATTTTGAATCTGACGAATTAAAGACGTAACAAGGCTGTATACATATTTAATATATATAGCCTTGTTAGTTCTGTGTTAGTGATACAGCAAGCCTCATTATTAGGGTTTTACCGACATGCAAGAAGTATCGTGGCATTTTGCATTCTGATGTAATTCTCTGTATTTCTGTGCCTGTCCTGGTGTATGATCAACATCCACACTGCTGCCATAGAACTATAATATAGATCCACACCAGAGATCCAGATCCACACTGGTGCTAAAGAACTATAATATAGATCCAGATCCACGCTGGTGCCCACTGTCACTCTGACAGCTGAGCTCCTTCCGGTGCGCTCGTGCTGCACTCACGCGCGCTTGCCGCCCTGCGCGAGCCCAGTGCAGAAGTGTGTTGTGACCATAGACTGTGTGCTTATGATGTGTCAATAAGTTAAAACTGTGGACGGCACCGATGATGAGAGGGGGCTCCCGTTTCTTGTGCTGGGCTTTTGAGGTACGTTCATAAGTCAACGAGTCACTCATGACAGAAAACTTGTAGTTTTATTGATTTCCCGATGTGTGTGGTTCTTTAGTTCTGTGGCTCTCAGTTACTGAAAAAATGTTATTATCGCTGCTCTGGACATGATGTCCGCCTGCTGGCTTTGCTCTGAATTGGCCGTAGTTTGTCTCGACATCGCTGTGAAACGGTGTTCCCTGTGTGGGGCTTTTCCTCACATAGTAGACATGTTGCTCAGTTATTCTTCACTCGGATCTGAAATAACAGAGTAAATGAATGGCAAAGCCTCTGAGCTGCTGACTTGCCCCTCTCTTCCTCCGCATCAAATGATCAGCACTCAGCCACGAACCTGCGTGACAGAAAAACTCTTCAATGCGCCTTATCAAGTCTTTTGGTCCAAATACAAGCTTTAACTTCCAGCCCCAGCTGTTACAGAAACCCGTGCCATTTGAGGAACCAGTGCCTGCAATATCACGGACACGTCCAGTTAGCAGCTGCAGCGCTAGCAGGCTAACTAGCTACTTTTATTCCCAGTAACAGTGCGAGGAAATGGGGCTGCTGCCGTGCTGAACACTGCACACGGATGTATGTACCTGGGCAGAAAAACTCGGGTTTAATTAATCATTAGAGATGTTTTAGACGACAGTGGCGGAGCAGAGTTAAGTGACAAAATGCCCCCAGTGCTGTACTGTACTTGGCATGTCTCCTCCAATCCTCAGCAAGATGGACTCGCTTTCGGCTTGTCTGTCTTGTCAGAGCCCACATCGACATTTTGCACGGAGATGAAAATGTGCGCTTAGAGGTAAGGGCGCAGGCTGTCACAGTGTGTTTTACACGGAAAGGTTCACTCTTTCCACTGTTATCGTGTGGGAAAAACCCAACCCGTGTGCTCCGGCGTGGACCCGGGCATCAGCACTTTTACCTGAGACGAGCCTGTGCGCAGCAGCCACGGTGCCCGGTAATTGTAGGCTGCAGAGTGTCGTGTGAAATGCGCCCAGTGGTCGCAGGGTTTGGCCTACATGCTGTTGGCCACAGGGGCGGCGGATGGCGGGTGACACCGAGTGATCGGCAGTCGGATGAAACAAAATGTCCCACCATAGTTTGACGCGAATGAGTCTCGTTATGTGCTACGCCAAAGTTGACTCGCTTCACATTGTCCTGCAGCTCTGCTCGTGTTAAAAGACAAAATTGTTGAAGAGGTGCCACTGTAACGCATGACGAGAGTATCTTGTATTTTATAGGTCATCGTCATTGCATGACAAGGGCTGTGGCAGACTCATCCTCATCACTCATAACAGCATTTCCATATTATTTCCTCTGTAAGTATCCCGTTTTCCACCTGACTTTCATAATGTAACAAACTCCTCATCTGCTGCTGGTGCAGGCAGCGTCAGTTCATCCACTCATATTAGGTTTTCTTTGCCTATTCTTTGCTGATCCATAGGTTGAGGTCACATGACATCACAGCATTAAAAAATGCCGATAGTTTAAATACTCTGGTTGGCAGCTCAGAACTCTATGGGACATTAAGTCTCTAAATGGAAATATTTGGCCTGTATATGGTTAATATATTTGTAATTACTGGTATGTCCAGTCCACATGAAACAAAATCTGACAAAAAGTTCAACTTCTCCTCAATTACCACAGATTTACTTTTTATTGTGACCCAAAGTGGTGGTATTATTGAATCTCAAAGGGCAACATTGTTGTCATTTGAAAGGACATTATGTACGTTTGTGGTCCTTATCTTGGTTTAGTTTCTTTCTTTCTTTATAAAAAATAATGATCTGGTTCAGCATTGTGGATTGTCTTGGAATCTGAATTTCCTGTAGTGTTGTATAAGCCCCTGCCTTGCCCCAGAAATTATGACATAGAAAATAAAATTATAATATTAAAATGTGCAGAATACAAAAGTATAGATAATGGGATGCCTTTTTTCACAAAATTACTGAAAGAGAAATGACATGACATTGGCCGCTCATGTATCACAAATGCCAACTACTATTCTCATGTTCTCATGAAGTTTTCAATAAACTTTTCACTAAATGTTTCATTAAACATGCAGTTAAGCAAAAGAAAGAAACAATAAAACCCTTATCCATGTAGCTTTTATATTTGAGCAGACAATAATGGTAATGTAAACAGTTCCCATAAATCCTATTTTAGTAACAGTTTGAATGTTGCTGCAAAAATGACATGGCGTAACTTTAACCTGACAGTGAACTCTGATGGGGCTGTAGGTGCGGTAGTACCATGAAGGGTGGAGGAACTGGAAAAGAACCACCAGTCGCCGGAGAGATCGCAGGGAAACGACCCAAACGCAAATGTCTACAGTGGCACCCGCTCCTGTCCAAAAAGACTTTGGACTTCTCAGAGGAGGAGGAGGATGACGATGAAGAGGAGCAAGAGAAGGTATGAAGTCAAGAGTAGAACAGTATAATGTGACATTGGCTATGGCTGCACAAAATAGCGGTATACAATTATACAATACAATCCTTTGCAAAAAAAAAAAAAAGCATCCTGTCTTTTACCTGTAGTTTAGACCACTACAAACATGTTCTGAAATTATTAGTTTAACAGTTTGTATTTCAGTCTTCTCACAAATGTTAATGCTCCTGGAATTGTTTACAATGTGCAATCTGACCAAAATCTCTTTAAAACATAAATATTCCAAATGTAATCACAACAGCAATACTCTTTAGACAAATAGTGCAGCTATAATAAACACATATTATATTTTTATACAATCTTTTGCACCTCACTCCATTCAGAAAAACTGATCAACATCTTGTCAAAGAATCAAAACTGTGCATTCACTATTAGTCAAAAGTTTGGACATGCCCTCTCATTCAATGTTTGTTTTATTTATTTATTTTTACTAATTACTACATTTTATTTTCATGGGGAAGACATCAGATATCTGAAGCAATTATCTAGCAAAGAAAAAAACATAACTAAATTTTTTTTTTGACAAAGCAAACAGTGGCTACTTTGAGGATTTAAATATAAAATAAAATATAAAAAAGTCTTACTTCATATATTTGATGTCTGCTGTGTGTATATAAGATGTTAAAAGTGATACAGATGAAGAAAATAAACTTTTGGTAGTATATATATATACATCAGTTGTCTCTTTTCATACTAGGACCAGGGCTCTCAGGTGCAGAGTGGAACCCCAGCTGAAGTGGACGATGACCCCTCAGAGCAGAGAGCCCGCCGCCCCATGAACGCGTTCCTCCTGTTCTGTAAACGCCATCGCTCTCTGGTGCGGCAGGAGCACCCACGTCTGGACAACAGGGGCGCCACCAAGATACTGGCCGACTGGTGGGCCGTGCTGGACCCCAAGGAGAAGCAGAAGTACACTGACATGGCCAAGGAGGTACGTGCTGTTCACAACTCCTCCCCATTTAATTTTACACTATGTTTTGCTCTACCCTTTGAGAATTTTGAAACACACTGATTTCAGGTTGTATATTATGCATTATTTAATTGTCTTGCTCTTCCATCAAAATCAGCCATTATTAGGTAACAAAATTCAAAATCTAGGAACGTGCTTCAGCGCTGTGGTGCCACATACTAGTATAAAATTCATAATCAGTATAACTAGAACAGTTTCATGTTTTAAGACTGGGATTTGACACGTTAACGCCTTATTGAATGTTAATTAATGGCAGTAATGATTTTATCACCTCAGATGAGGTGTGGTCAGTTCAGTTCAGAACCCTGTTCACTGGCAAATCAAAACCACATCAAAACAACGGGTTAAATTGATAAAAAGGTTAAAAGTATGACTCAATGGCATATGGACTAATATCAGTAGTTCACTACAGCCTAAATATATTTACGAGTACTACTGAAAACACCTACACTAAGCCTACCACCAAAGTGTCAAAGGATATGTTTTTGATGAAAAAACAAAATTATAGTATGCAAAAAAATACAGTTATATATAAGTACTAAAATACACCTCTCTAAACCTTTTTATGTCACAAATGAATTGTGAATTGTTTCTTTCAGTACAAAGATGCTTTTATGAAGGCAAATCCTGGATACAAATGGTGTCCTACCACAAGTAAACCAGTGAAGAGTGCCCCCTGTCAGCCAGTGAGTACAGCACGCAAAAAAGTGTGGCCCTTCATCTCAGGCCCATGTAAAGACTCCACCACTGCCAAGAAAGTGCCCAAAGCAGACAGCATGCCACAGTTAAACTTTGCCATGGCAGGTTTGTACACCACTGTCACTTGTATAACTATAACAGTGCACAAATGAATTTGAAATGCTCTTTTCTAAATCAGATCCCACAAAGATGGGAGGCCTCAGTATGCTGCTTTTGGCTGGTGAACATGCCCTCACAAACAAAGAGGTAAGCTGTCATTTGTAATGCTCTACTTTTCCAGAAGGTGGCACTGAAGAGCCAATATATGAAAGTTCATTTTCAACACAAGACTCAAAAATGTGAATTTAATATAATGTAATAATGATATTTAATATGTCAGTCTCAATAAAAAATACCATTTTAGCACAACTCACTGTTTCTGCTGTTTCTGCCTCTAGGTCCCTTCAAGCACTAAACCAAGTTTACATGAAACAGACACTGAGAGAGACCCCCTCCCAGAAAATAAAACAGAGGTTTGTATTTCAATAGTCCAACACAATGTTTGTTCTGTTGTCCCTCGTTGGCACATTTCATCTTTGACTAAAGTTCTACCAGTTGATATTTACTGAAAATGTGAACATGTTTTACTGATGTTATTATTCATACAGATATTGTCTGGAACAACACCGAAGAGAGTGCCTGATATCACTAAAAACAGGGTTAAGCCTGAACCTTCCCCTCCTGCAGAGGTATGACTCAGATATTCTCCTTTTACAACTATATTTATATATATGTATAATACTTACAAACATGCACACAAGGCACAAGTTAACCGATCTGGATCTTTCTTATTCAGTCGTCTGTGGCACCAGAAGTAAAACCATGCAGGCAGTCTGCTCTCTTCCAGCTCGCAGAGGTATCATTTTACTTCTACATATTGTCCCCTTAGAATTGAAGTGTTCTATGTGATATCATTTTTATTATATAAAAGTGAGTTTTTCATAAATTCTTTTTCCCGTATGCTTTCTGAGCGCTTCAGACCAATTATGTAGGGTTTGATGAGGACTATTTTAGGATTTTATGAGCAAAAACTAATTTCCCTGTCCTGTTGTTGGTAAGAACTTAAATCTCTACCCAGAACTGCCCAGAACACAGATAGAATCCTACGACTCTAGGGGGGTGATGTGTTAAAAAATATTATTTACAGGTAAAAAATTATGTTAGTATATGGAAAAATGTGAGTAAATTATGTTTCTCTGTGTAAAAAGATGTGTTTAGCGTCTGAAGCACAGAAGATGGACACAGAGGTTGCTCAGCCTGAGGATAGCTGGTCCAGGCCCTCCTCAGAGCTTCAGACTTCAATCAAAACTGAACTCAAGGAGGAGAAAGAAACCACTGACAATGCTCTGTCCACTCATCCAACCCCTGTCTCCTCTCCTCCCTCTATCATCTCTCCCTCCTGTGACACCACGTCCCTCATCGAGACCTTAAGTCCCCGCGTCAAAAAGAGACCCAAGAAGAAAGAAGAGTCAAAAATGGATGATGCAGAGGAAATTTCTCCAGTTAAGGTCATGAAAATAGAAACAAAATCAGTTGCCGATCTCATTTCCAGCACTATTGAAATGGTTGCAAAAAGATCACTGCAAGAACCAGATGAGAACAGGATCCAACGCAGCCTTAGTTGTGGGGGTCACGCTCTGCCTAAAAAGACCAAGCCCAAAGTGAAGAGTTCTATGGAGCAGACTGAGGCTAAAGACGACAGTGGTGCACAGTGTGGTGTTGATAACTTCGATGAGGGAATGGAGAGTGAAATACTGGACCACAGTCTGAAAACCGAGGTACCAGATACAATCACTGAGAGTATTGAGACTCCGGACAACATGGCTGAACCAGAGCAGTTCTTCACTAAAACCAAGGAGGAGGACAAAAGCAAAGAGGGAGCTAATGAAGGAGAGAGTGCTGCTGAAAGCAGAGGGTCCAGGAAGTCTGAGAGGAGCTGCAAAGGCGCCTTGTACAAAACACTGGTTTCCGAAGGGATGCTCACGTCTTTGAGAGCCAACATTGACAGAGGTAACAAGACTACTGATCATAGAAAGAAAGAATTTTAGGGAGTCCCTTGCCTATGTTTGCAACAGATTCCCTAAAATTTTTGGCATTTCGTTACCGGGTGGGACTAGCGTTTCATGTCTCAAAGCCCTAAATTTAACCTAATTAACCACTCTTTAGCCAAATTAACTGTTTCTAAATCTAATCCTACCCTAATCTTAACCTGATAGTGAAATAATATATAGGTAAATAATAAACCTTTGCAAAAGAAAATTTAATTCAACGTGTCAACGTGACAAAAGATATCTGGACAGTTGAGTATTTAAGGCTGTGGCTTATCTGAACCCTGTCAGAACTGATGAGTGCCAAAACAATTCACTCATAGGTGATAATTTTGCTGGAACAATTTATTTTTGCTATTTTTGGTGTGTTTTTGTTGTAATACAGTAACATTTTAGCTGTAATTAACTTAATGAGACTATTTAGAAATGTTTTACTAGAATTATCTTGCATTATTGTTTTTGTATCAGTGGCATAAGATAAATAGATACATAAATATTTATTGATCCCGAAGGAAATTCAGTTTTTGGTAGCAGCAATGAAATAATAAAAATAATACAGCAAAAATTCATCATTTATAACGATGCGTTGTTATAAAGTCGTTTCAGTATTATCTTTTATCACAGTATATCTCTGTGACAATATATCATGCTTCAATAGTTGTATGCAATGTTACAGTGTATGGTACAAAATATCAGTGGTTGTTTATGCATGTTTCTGTTGTAAAGGTAAAAGAGGTGCCTTACGTGCTTCTGATAATGATGCAAATTGGACTGAAGACAGCTGGACGCTCACTCAGATGGGATCTAATAACCCCAAAAAGCTCAAGAAGTCTAAGTCCAAAGATGACTCCTCCCCCGGGTTAGTATTCTGTTTTGAGTTATTTATCCATTTTTAACTGAACAGCTTGATGGATTGATATTTACATTTTTGTGTTTAGTCTGGGAAAACTGGAGGAAGAATTTGAGAAGAAGTTCAACAGCCTGCCTCAGTACAGTCCCCTGATATTTGACAAAAAGGGCTCAGCTGTTACAAAGAGGAGAAGGACTGACTTTGTTCAAGATGAGGCTCCCAAACCTGGTAAAGGTGATAAGAAATACATAAAATCTCTCATTATCCTTATTTATCTTCATTTGCTGCACCCACATGTTCATACTGTAGCAAGCTTCAACCAAGCGCATGGATGTCATAAGATTGCATTTCCATTTCCCTTATTTTCTTTTGCTATATCAGGACCATTTCCATCTCTGAAAAAGACTTCATTCCACAAGATTGTTAGGAAGCATAAGCTCAAAAAGGACAAGCCAGTTCCAGTGGAAAGAGGTGAACTGGGATGTGCATGCTGTACACATGTTTAGAAAAATAGTCAAATATTAATAGTATAAAATATATTGTTGAAATGTTACTTTTTATTACAGTAGTGGTTCAGAATGAGCTGACCATGCTAGACTCTGCATCAAAAGCCAAATCCCCGACTGCCATCATGTGCCCAGACGCCCAGGGCAGCGCCAACATGGAGATGCTCGTAGGGAGCCAGAAGAGGAAAGCCCGGAAAACCAAGATCACACACTTGGTGCGCACAGCGGATGGGAGCGTGTCTCCAGTCGAAGGTTAGCGAATAATTTGAATGATTTTCACTTAAAGGCACATGAAAATTATGTATATCAGTATATATCAGGGGTCATTAATTGCATTTGATCGAGGCTCAGTTTGAGTAAATTTCCTCAGGAAAAATATGGGATCTGGGACTTGGAAACATGAACACTCATTTGTTGTGATAGTATGTCCATTCAAGTATAGTTCAGTACGGTCACAGTCTGGTCAAGTCTAGCTATGCTTCCACTGTAGGGAGTACTATACCTCTGATGATGCAGTCCCAAAGACTGAGTCGCCAGAGATATTTTTTTGAGTAGCCTTGTCACGATCTGCATGTAGGTCTGCAGTATATAGTTCTGACACATTTCCAACAAAACATGTTTTGTATAATTTCTAATCTTTTTGTTATTATTTTATTGACTATTTTGTTCCAGTGTTGCTGGTTCAGTTGAATGTTGAAAAGAAATAGAAATCAGCTAGATTTAATGTCCTAATAGGATACTTATGGATCTTTTTATTGCTGGTTCAATGACTGTTTGTCATTGTTCACTTGAGTAATACTAATTCTTCAGAGAGACGGTGCGATCACTAAGTCAACAATAAAATATCCTCATTAATGTTCAATAATGGTAAAATCCACCTTTATTTTGTGATTTACGAATAATGTCTATTGACTTGGGTCGCGAAGGTTTGTGACTTTTAAAATATTAAATATAATAAGTCTATCAATTATTAATTATAGGTTGTTATAGGTTACAGTGTTGTGTTTTGCAGGTGACAAATTTAGGGACCCGATCCAGGAACAGGATAAGAAGCCATTACCCCCACAGAATTTATGCAATGAAAAAGGGTGCTACAGCAATCCCCCCGAAGAGGAGACAGATGGGAGCGCCACACCACAGGATCTGCCTGCTTTCTTCAGTTTAACAGCCCTTGCCGAGGTAGCTGCTATGGAAAATGCTCATAGGTAAGAGACGGTTTCAAGATTTTTATGCTTTTATTTTCAATTTTTTCATTATAACATAATGACTCATGGATGTCATAGATTACAATTATATAGTTTCCGTCAGGTTTTTACAAGATTATGGTGGCTCAGGCAAAAAAATTATAATACCAATTTTGAAGTAAATGTCACGTGTTGCCTCTATTAATAACTAATTAATAACTAGCTGATTAAAGATTACATAGGAGTTACTTGCACATATTTATGACAATACAACAACCAAAAAGTGTTATTTTTAGTACCTATTTCTTGCTCAGTTTCATTTAAAACTTGTGAAGCAAAAATTGGATTAATGGAAAGCTCTGCATATATTGAGTAAAGCTTCATGTCTGTGCTGTTTCAGAGGCCAGAGGAGTTTGGCTGACAGTCAGAAGAAGGAGCTGTCTCCGACTCCAGTGCTGATCTCCTGTGCCGATCAGTGAGACAGTGGCTTCTCTTCTGAAACACACATGGACACTGGGAGCATTACCCTTTGTGAGCTGAACGGCCAAACACGAGGGACCCCGGATCACGATGCCTTGGACAGACTCGCCGCTCCCTCTTGTGGTCCTTTAGCTTGAGGTTTTCCGCGGAGCAAGAGCCAGCACTGCTTTTCTCCGCGCTCGCCACTATCTCAGTGTCTCCCCAAAGCCCCTGCGGTGAGAGGAGGATGTCTTCTGTATTCCTCTTACCTATTTAGATGCTCTGTTAGCGCCTGTGGAAGAACCAAGCTGTCTCTCTCAGTGCATGACTTCCTTCTGAGGTGGTTTTCTGGGATCAATGTATGGTTATGCAGTTTAAAGCTAGTATCGTAGGTAAGCATACTTCAAATGGTTGTTTTTTAGAATACCTGGCTTTCCGTCAGCTTGTTACCTCACACACACCTACTGAGAAGCCACCTCTGTTAGAATACCTCTGTATTTATTAGCTTGCACCCTTCGTACCCTCCAGCTTCAACCCAAAACTGTTAAACCAGGGTAAACAATCATGATTCCACTTCCACTTGTAACATTTACTTAGTATTTCTTTGTTTCACCATTTTAGTGCACATAAATAATGGTGAAAATAATGGTTGAGTAGAGTAAATGTGACGCTACTGTTACAAAGAGTTCGTAGTAGCTCCAATAATCATGATAGACTGAATTTGTAAGAGTAGACTTATGCTAACCCTTGCATCCTGCTGAAGTTGACTTTTGCTAAGGCTTTTGTCTTGTTAGTCCTTTAGTGGTCCTCCCTGTCAGGTGTATGAGCTGATCGCTTAAAGCTGTTCTTGATATGAGAAAGCTGTTTTAAAATGTCTCGAATATAGCCTTAACCCTTTTACCCCTTTTGTCACCTTAAAACCCTCACCCGGCTCGTCATTGAAAACCACCACCATCTGAAGTCAGTAGAAACTAGGGCTGCATGATATTGGGAATTGCTGCGAGATGCGATATGGCCATTATTAGTGCAATGTTTTAATATACTTAAAAAAAAACTAAACAAGAAAAATATGTACTTTAATTTACCACTGAAACTCTTAACTGAAAAGAGACTAAACCAGTACTAAACCAAGGCAATTTTTTTTACTTGATAAGGAAAATCATTAGTAAAATCAGCCTTACTTTGCAAATTATTTTAAAAAACAGTGCATTTTTGTCAGATGGATAACCTTAGTGTTTTTGCGATTACTTTATATCGAGCATGTTGCGATATCAATTATTGCATTACTCAATATTAGACTCAATTGTTCAGTTGTGGATGGGAGAGCAAATTTTTAACTTCGACATATTGTTGATGTAAATATAGTCGATAAATGACAATAATGAAACTAATTTATGCCACTGATACAATAACCCAAGAGCAGATTTAAGCCACAAAAACTATTCAAAATCTACAATATTGTTACAAACCATGAGCTGGAATAAATAAATAGCAGAATGAAACACTTAAATGCTTAGTTTACATTTGTAATGAGTCATAAAAGTTACTAATTCAACCATGTATGGCTTAAATCTTATTATATAGCAAAAAAAATAAAAATCTCAATAATGCATAGAAAATGTGCACATGATAAAATACTGACACCAAAAGTATTGTTCTAACTTTCATATGTTGAACGATAAATCAGTATGGTAATTATTATTACAGTTTTGGCTCCCATCCAGACGCCACTTTCAATTTGATGACTGACTTTAAGCACTAGAATTTATACTACTGAGTTAACAAAGTCTTACCCCAAAGAGAGTTTCAGAGCAAACCTGCATTTCCATTATTATGAGTTCTCTCTATTGTATATCGTCAATATTGCAATATCGGCACTTTTTCGACATCTTGTGCAGCCCTAGTAGAAACCTGAAGTAGTGAGATGCAGTTTTGTTACTACTTGATCGCATTGCAGTTTCTTGCGTAGCAGATAGAACGGTTCTTCATAACATGTGAGTGATTTGTTTAAAGATAGGTGTTTAAAAGTTACGTAACCACTGCACTAATTTGTAGCTTAGGTTGGAGCTTCTCTTTGAGTAATAATGTCTAGTCTCCTCTCACACTGTATGCAAACCTCAAAGCACATCTACGAATCATGAATTTCTTTTTAATAACTAGATCTTTTATATCTGTATAACTCAATAATTATTAAAGCCAGTTGATGTCATAGATGAGCTATTGGAGACAAGGCATTTCACAGCATCTTGTATTCATTTCTTTCCTATATATTGGCCTTTTTGAGATTTAATTGCCAACTAAACTATCATATTCTGCTCAGATTTTCCTCGTCGCTTTCAGTGTAGCAGAGTTATATTATTGTAAATCGTGTGATCTTTTTGTTGGCACAGTCTTTGCTTCTTTTTGCTAATCATTCCATTTCTATATTCATTTATTTTTGACCATACCTGTGTTTCGGATGTTGTAGGTGCAGCGAGTGACCGCAGATGGACTGAAAATAGTGTATTTTAATTATATAAGTATAATAATATTGAAGAGTGCCTAGCGCAGTTAATAAGAGCTACAGAATACTTAGCAACAATGCCACCTCCTCACTCACTGGTTAACTTTCCTGTTGATAAGCTTGTGTTTCGTAATATGCTACAATGAATACTTTCTGTAGTATATTTTTATTGATTTTCTGTCTATTACATCTGTTAAGTACTGGTTACTTGTTGGCTGAATTTCCAAGGACAGGTTTACCAATAGTTTGGACTGTTTTTGAAACAGATGAATGCATGGAAGCTACAAGCAAAGCAATAGGCACAGAGACCAAACTCATCTGTTCATCTATCCACGTTTCACTCTGGAGACAGACACATAGATTTAAAAAGCACGAAATCTATTCAAACTGCTGTCGAAGCATTTTCTCTATGATATTTTTAAATGTGAAATGCTTTTTTGTGACTAACTGCTGCTCATTTGTGCGGCTCAGGTCAGGCCAATATATGAATTGACTTTTTGGCGAAAATGTCTTCTGTGAAACTATCCACGGGTTTGAGATCGATGAGAAATTAGGACCGTTGCAAAACAAAATATTAAATCTTCTGAATGGCGTATAGAACAGAAACCCATGGATAGGAAAAATCTGATGTAACGTCTAACACTTAAGCTGAAGGGAATCACAGTACAGCTCTATAATACTCCTTATATTATAAATTACTATATTTATATTTTCTTGAAAAAAAAAATAGAGAACTTAATTGCAATTATTTTTAAAGCAGAAACTGTTCTTCCACTGGTTTAAATAAGACAACAAAATGTCTTCCCCATCATATATATTTGAGTTTATTGCCAAAGATGAGGAAAGTTATATTCAAAACATGTTTATTTAAAGAAATGAGACCCGTCATGACCGTTGCACTTAGTTTTCTTGGTGTGTCAATCTTCAGGTATAACAAATATAACAATATCAGCACAATTCATCCTGTTTATCTAATGGGTGTACGAAGCCAACTTAAGGGCACTGCTTAAAGCCTATTTTAATACTTGCACCTTATGACCCAAACCAAAATCACAATCTTAAAAAAATATATTAAATTTTTACCCAATATAAGAACGTTATGCATTGTAATTATTATATATGCTTAATTCTTTTCCAAGAGTCCAAACATCTACAAAACAGCCATATAGCTTAACTAATTTTCCAAATCCCATACTTTTTTCTATAGAAATGCGTCTATAAAGAAATTCCTAGTTAGTTACCTAAACAACTATTGTATCCTTTTGTGCTAGTACTGTCTTCTTGAATGTAATCATTTTGTACCTGTATTTTTCTAATTGAGTCTTGATTGTACTGTATGTATGCTATGATGGTGTACTGATCTTTAGGTGCATACGTACTTCGTTACAGCCAGTTCTCGTGAGAAGATAGCGGCGGCACTGCAAATTCTATGGAAATGTGTGGAGTTTTAATTACTTCCTATAATGTGTGATCTTTTGACTGAAATCACATTTACTGTAGTGCTGAGTCACAGGATCCCTCTGGTTTTCTTTGTTATATTTTCTGCAGTAAGTGTACATCAGGTTACAGGACAGTTTGAAACAGGGCTCTCCTGCAGTCAGAAGAAACATTTGAATGCTTGAGTTTCAACTTATTTATTACTGTTCCTTTTTATAGATGTAGTTGAATCACAAATATATAAATTTAATATGCACCCCTTTATACATGAACGTGTATAATGTTATCTTCCCTTTACTGGAATGTAGATCATGGAGTCGCTTTCCTCTATAAGTTTGAACTGTGCTTATTCTTCTTTATGTTAATGAATCACAAATGGCAGATATGTTTGTTGTTTATAGAAGCCTTGCCTTACTGGTCCCCCTGCTTAATGAGGGGTCCCTTAGCCATCCCACCTTGCCTTTCCCATCCCACCATTACTGTGTCATAACACTGTTTGCTGATGCAACTGTTATTTCTTTTACACTTAACTGCTGGCGCAAATATAACTTGTTGAACACCTATTAAAATAACATCAATAATCAGTAGTATTACAGTGTGTCTTTTTTCTTTACCATTTACTTTACTTTTTTCCACAAAAGTTTTTATTAAGATTGTACATTTGAAGCATAAAATGACATTATACAAAAAAAAGTACATACATTAAGAGCCTTCCCCCACCCTAAAACACACAGTTTGAATTATGATTTCTACATGTCAAAATTCTTAACAGTGCGCAAAAATGGCAACGAAATGTATTTAAAGTTCTTTCACTTTTCCTTTAGATATGCACCACTCCAGAGCCTAATTGTTGGACATTTATTTAATCCACTGGTTTACTCTGGGCTTCTCCATTTACTTCCAGTTGAGAGCAAGAACATGTTTGGCCTGCAATAAACTAAAAGATACAAGCTTCTTTCTATTTAAATTAACACTAAAGCTGTTGGTAAAGACATGTAGTAGAGTTTACAATCCAATGGCATCTCACAGTTAAATCTGAAATTACAGTAGTGATCTCTTTCCAAAACAGCTGGAGTTCTTCACACTGCCACATACAATGAAAAATCAACCGAAATATCAGTTTCTAAATCTGTTCTCCAGGCTTATAGATATGAGAGACTATTTTCTTTATAGGACAAAAGTAAAATGCTGTAAAAAATTGTAAAGGTGACCTCTGGTTTGGTGAACACATATATTCTCAATAGAGAGTGGGGGCTCCATAGTTGACTTTAGACTAGTGGTTATAAAACTTCTGACCTGCAGGTACTTAAAAAATGTTTTTAGGTAAGCAAAATTTATTTATCAGTTTTTCAAAAGACATTAAATTTACTTTACATTATTTACTTTACACAATACATATGGGCCTACACATTTGATCTAAACATGTGAAATATGTGAAAAGGGAGACACTGCACATTTCTTATGCAATACAGTGACAGCAGGGGGTAGCCTACATTAGAGTCACATCTACATGGAAATTATTGAATAGTTGTCAATTGATTTCTGTATGATATAACTACATTGAAATATAAATTCATTACATTCAAACTGGACATGTTTATTCTTATTAATACCCTTTTTAACCATTATTCACATATGAAGTGTCAAATTCTGGACTCTAGATGAAAACCACACAACATGTTGTTTAAATAAATGGTGCCCTTTACCCCCAGTCAATATCTGAATGTTTGAATGTGGAAATGTATCAGTTTTACGCGAAAGATGTTGTTTTAATACGTTTAGCATTTTCGGGTGGGTTTTACAATTTAGTCAAAATTGTAAGACAAAGGAAATTTACGCCATCGTGAACTATGGAACTTTTCTGGTGGACAGTCTGCACCTGCTTGTCTCCATGGGGATGTTATTGCGTTGCTCATTGCTCCATGATACAGTCAAGCCAGGTGCTAGTCAGATCTATGTAGAGGTGACCAGCCTGCTCATATTAGAATGCATATTTTTCAAGGTATTTATTAGATTGGTTTAATGCCATACTGTGGAACCCTGTTATAATGCTGTTACCTTGTCAGAAACATACATTGTGTTTGTTTCATACACACGTTTGAGTAATTCTTTATTATTAGTCTGTCTAAATGTCCAAAAAGAGGAAATCATGGAAATTAAATTATCCAAACAATTCTAGTGAAGGTATAGAGGGTTTAAAAACACAGTGGACCACTTCCCGTATTACCACATGACATCACAAGGTGGAACAGTGTTTTCTGTTTCAGAGAAGAATTCAGCTTAAATATGCAGGGTTTCTGTGTTTAATATGATGATATTATGAATAAAACAAAACACAACTCCAGGTAAGTTTTTGATGAGGAAACATTATAAAAGATCTGAGCCATTTAATACATCTGAGCAAAATAATAAATAATGGATCAGATTTATATAGCACTTTTTATTTTTTTGGACAATCAAAGATGTTCATTTATGTATTTATTTATTTATTTGTGTGTCTATTATTTTAATTCTTTTTTTTCCCCCAAGAGCTTTGAAATGTACCACAGCCAAACACAAGCGCTCCCCCTGCTGGTGTAAGAGCGCAACAACCAACCAGGAGTCACGTGATATGAAGTCACATGACAATAACTGGACAGGCACAGCAAAATGGCAGCGTTTTTACAGTGGAGGAAATTTGTGTTTTTTGATAAAGAAACAGTCAAAGACCCTGCGGAAAATGGGAAAAACTTCACGCTTCCCCCTGGAATATCGGCGTGTGACTCGGGCCGGGGACATATTGTTCTGGCTGATATCCTTTAGTCAAAGAGTTAGCGCTGTTATGCTAGCTCTGTGACAGTATTAAACCTGCCTTATTGATTATAAAGCTCAGTTAGAGTCACTTTTGTTATCTAAGTCTAAGCTTGGAAACGACTGTGTATTAGGGTGACCAGATTTTCAAAACTGAAAACTGGGACACACCCGGATTTGGATGTTTGGTAGAAATACAAATTGTAAAAAGTGCGAGTAACATTGTGCATTCTCATGTCAGTCATAATCTGAGAGATTTTAGTATTTTAGCAAAACAAATTACAATTTATGCTCTTCTTTACTGTTGGCAGGGATCAGATTAGTCAACAATTGTGGTAGTCCTATTTTAATCCTGGTTTAGAGTTGATGTAGCCCTGGTTTAATCTTATTTTACAGTAGTCCTGGTTTAGACCTGGTTTAGATTGGTCAAAAATGGGGACACATGGGACATTTCTTCTATAACACTGGGTCAGTATAAAATCTAAGGGACGTTTGTTGGTGCTTTTTTTTCGCTTTTTCAAGCAGTTTTTTGTATTTTAGCTAAACAAATGGCAATATATCCTCCTCTTTACTGTTGGCAGGGATGAAATTGGTCAAAAATAGGGACAACTGGGACATGTCTTGTATAAAACTGGGACTGGTTTTGTATAAATTTGCTGGGACAGGGGGCACAGGGCTCAAAACTGTGACTGTCCCGGGTTAATAGGGATGTCTGGTCTGGCCCTGCTGTGTGTGTTAAATCTTTGGCAGCTCTAAATCTGGTTTGCCTTCTTCATTATAAAGCTATATATAGGCTCAATTAGATTCACTTTTGCTGTCTAAATATAGGCTTATAAAAGGTCTGTGTGGGCGTTTAAAAACTTTTACCTTTTGTTCTGCATAGACTGGCAAATCCAGGGATGAAATTATACAAATGATTCTAGCGAAAGTGTATGGAGTTTAACAATACAGCACTTCCTGCATTACCGCATGACATCTCAAGGTGAAACAGAGTGCTTTATATTTGAGAGAAGAACTCAGTCTAAATTTTGGTTTGTGAGTTAAACATATGTGAACTGAAACAAATCACAATTCTCGGTGTGTTTGTGATGAGGGAACAATATTCTAAGCTAGATCAGAAAATAGCAGAATATGAGCCCTTTAAAGAGACAGATATATTATGCTAAATCAACTTTAGTGAGCTTTTATCCTTCTTATGGTTTTCCCTCATTGTTTATTTATTTATTTAGATTGATTCATGCATTTGAATCTTGTAGTATCCTGCATTTAAGGCTTGAACACTCAGAAAATGTTTGTTTTCACGTAACCCCCTCTCCGCTCACTTTTCTGTATCTACTTACTCTGAGTCAGATATGTAGGGTTAAAAAAATGTCATACACATTATTCAACATTTAAAACATCAATTAAAATACCTTGCTTACAGTAAATAGAGGCTAGGGATTTCAGGAAGTCAGTGGACCTACTTTTATTATAACGTCAATTAAAGTTAATATTGTGCTTTAGAATTAACAAAATGTATTATAACGATATATGTATTATATGTTAGAATTTAATACTAAATATAGAAGCAATATTCACCACCTTTGTTTGACTTCTATGAGAAACTAACCATGCTGTCATATGTCTATTTTCTATATCTTAAATACAATGGTCCTTAACCGTGGGTTTTTACATATGGATGGCATGATCTGGCTGTTGTCGCGCTCTCTACAGTTGACGTCTTTCCAGGCGTACAAACTGCGGGTGACTCACGTGTACCAACTAAAACAGCACAGCATCCTGGTGTCTGTGGGTCAAGACGAGCACGGAATAAACCCTCTTGTAAGTCAACACATCTCTAAAAGCAATGGGTCAGTGTATGAGTCTCATCTTACTGTTATATGTAATATTACTTTCTTCCCATTTAAAAGATGGAATATTCATTTTTAGTTAGTTAGTTACTTTTGTGTCGTTGTATTGCGTGATTTCAATTTTTGTTTTTGTCATCATCATGAACATAAACATGACAAACTTTCAATCATTATCTTTCAAAGTCAACACTGTGCTCCAAACTGTGCTTCTACTGAAAAATTATTGGCTGTAGACCTCTTCATTAAAAAAGACCTAACGGCGATTAGAGATGACTGAAATTCTAACTTCTAATTTGATTCATTTGCTCAGTCCTAGTTTTAATTGTCACTATGGCAACGGTCCTAATTTTTCATCATCCTGACACTCATGGATAACTCTCAAAATCTACTTAACTATTGTCATTTTAGGTTAAAGTCTGGAACTTGGACAAGAGAGACAGTGGAAATCCACTTTGTACAAGAATTTTTCCTGCAATACCAGGAAACAAACCAACAGAAGTGTCATGTCTCAGTGTCCACGAGAATCTCAACTTCATGGCCATTGGTAAAATACTATGATTTGTATAACCATACTTGTGTTTTATGTACAGTACTTTTATAATTATGACCCTAACTAAATAAACCATGTATGACCCTGAGCCACTTCCTTTACATGGGTTAAAGTGCACTATGTAACTTTCCTGGTTCGGGGGGGGTCTGTGTTTTTTGATTTACTTAAAATGTTCCACAGTGTGGCTTTAAATCTATTTATCACAAGGAAGGAAACTCTGCTACCCCAAGTCAGATCTGTGTAGAGGCAACCTCAGTCATTCTGAGAATGCAAGTTTGCAAATTATTTCTGAGAAATACTATTTAAGACATACAAGAAGGTTCCCCTTTATGTTCCCCCTTTCAATTATAAATCCATAACCTACAAGGTTTTGAGGTTGTTATTGTACATCACATTTCCTTTCACCACAGGGTTCACAGATGGCAGTGTGGTTTTGACTAAAGGAGATATCACCAGAGACCGCCACAGTAAAACTCTGACCCTTCACGAGGGTCCCAGTCCGGTCACAGGCCTGTCCTTCCGTCAGGTTGCCAAAGTCACGCACCTGTTTGTCGTCACCCTGGAGAAAGTCTATGTAAGTCACTGGAGACACATAATCAGTTTTCATAGTTGTTTTTTTAGTCAAACAAGCCTTTTTAGTTTGTCTGGTTTCAGTCAACATAGATGCTTTGATAATTTAGTTCATACTAAATCCATAATAGTTTCAGTCAATCAAAAAATCTATTTTTGATTTTAACTGTCTTTTCTTGTGTTCCTTGGATGTTGAGTTTGTATTATGTTGTTTTCATTGGTTTCTTTGGAGAGGATCAGTGCACTCTCATAGTGTTTAGGGGTTGTACCTACCAAAGCGGTCTTGCTCGTTTTGACTCCAGGATCACATTAACTAAGGAGGAGCTACACAGTACAGCTAGAGGGTTGGACCAGAGAAAACGCAGACTTAGGCAAACACAAGCTGATACAAACATAAGATAAGCGTCACCAAACGCTGACTTGATCTTGTGATAAACCACTGTATTTCCAGTGACATGCTTAACTAAATAAAGCTATATGGTTTGATTTGGGGATCCTGAGCTAGTCTCTACCCATTTCTTTTTATTGATTTATACTATTATTTCACAAAAATATCTGTAGTTATGGTCATCGAAATTAATGCTGCATAACTGTTCTCCTTATCTTTGTTTCAGTGCTACACATTGTCTATGAAGGAATACCCTAAACTAGAACTGGACACTCACGGATGTGGCCTTCGCTGCTCGGCTCTGGCAGACCCCTCCCAGGATTCACAGTTCATCGTTGCCGGGGACGACTGTGTGTACTTATATCAGCCTGATGAGAGAGGACCCTGCTTTGCCTTTGACGGACACAAGCTGTTGGCCCACTGGCACAGAGGATACTTGTTTCTACTTATCAGAGACGCCAAGTCCCCAAACAAGTGAGGAAATGGTAACTGTATCCAGAGGTGGGCAGAGTAGCCAAAGACTGTACTGAAATAAGAGTAACTTTAAGTAGAATTACAAAGTAGTGGCTCAAGAAATGACTGAAGTTAATGTAAATGGAAGGACAAAACCTTAAATAATGCCCAAACCTTGTATTTTTAAAAACAGACACAAAAATTAGAAAAATAAAAATCACGTTTGAAGGAGCGGTGCAAGAAACACAACTGAGTACTACCCACCTCTTAATATAACTTATTCTACTGAGAAATGCCTGTTGTAGTTCCAACTAAGTCGACTCTTTCTGGTCAAATTGTGTTAAAATAAAACTCAGATTAAAGTCTATTTTGAGTAGCTTCAGACAGAGCAGTGCCTACAGTTAGAACCAAACCCCCAGGGAATATTGACGACATCAGGTGCAAGCTATCGATAATAAATAAAATACAACTATGCTTTTCATTCAGCAGGTCAGGATTTGGGAGCAGAGAAAGCTCGCCTTCAGAGAAACAGCTCTTGACGATATATGACCTGGACAACAAGTTTATCGCCTACAGCTCCTCTTTTGACGACGTTATTGACGTAGTGGCAGAGTGGGGGTCTTTCTATATTCTGACAAGAGATGGGAAGATGTTTGTGCTTCAAGAAAAGGACACACAAACTAAACTAGAGGTATGGCTGTCTGTGGTACGCGGTGGTAATGATGTCGTACTCCCAGATGAGGGGCAAGAGACAGTTTTTCCTATTGATTACATTGCACTTTGCCGTGAAATATCCAAAAGGTGAATTCTAAAATCCCGAACCTGATCATTTTGATTATTGACTAAACCCACAAACTCACTGTATGGTAACAAAAATCTGTATTTTAACAATATTAATTTTAGCTGCCCCATCTGTATTAAATATTATTGACCTATAGAATGTTGTAATGTGATCTGAAAGCTATTCGTGACAATATTATCCTGACTTATTCTATAAAAAGCTTTCTAACACTGTAGTTTAGACCTCTATAAACACATTCTGACATGCGTGGGATTCTTGTATTAGTTATAACAGTACATATTTCAGTCTTCTCTCAAATGTTAATGCTCAAGGACATGTTTAAAATGTGAACTTTCAACAGAATCCTACCATTAAAACATACATTTTGAATCGTAATTGTAATGCGTTCAGCTCTTTTTGCTTTTTTATTAGACACTATATACTTGAAACTCAAATTTTTAACATCTCCAAAACATTCACAACATTATCAGTATTTTTGTCTGATTGTGTACTGGCATAAGTTATAAATGTTCTTTTTTTTGTTTTCTTTTTTAGATGTTATTTAAGAAAAATCTCTTTGTAATGGCTATAAACCTTGCAAAAAGCCAGCACCTGGACAGCGATGGTTTGTCAGAGATCTTTAGACAGTACGGCGATCACCTGTACCTGAAGGGGGACCATGATGGAGCCATTCAGCAGTATATCCGGTGAGTGCAAAAATACTAAATGCAGAAATGCTGTAAAATCTGTAACTGTAATCTAATCACTTTTCACAATGTCTTCCCTTTGTTTTAATTATGTCCATAGCACCATTGGGAAACTGGAGCCGTCCTATGTCATCAGAAAGTTCCTAGATGCTCAGAGAATACATAATTTAACTGCGTATCTACAGGCCTTACACAGACAGTCTCTTGCCAATGCGGATCACACCACACTGCTGCTCAACTGTTACACAAAGCTCAAGGACAGCTCCAAACTAGAGGAGTTCATCAAGGTAAATTCAGGATTACAGGCATCAGTGTAGGGTGTGTACATGTTGTATAATTTGATGTAATAATTTCAGATGTACTAGTAGAGCAGGGGCCTGTGTATGGTAACTCTTATTTTACTGTTTTTAAAAGAAATACCCAAATTTACAAAAGAATAAGGAAGAGCTGAGTGTTTTCTGTTTGAGAGAAAACCTATCAATTTGAAATATTTGTGTTTTAAACATGTGTGAATGAAACAAAACACAACTCCAAGAATGTTTTTGATGAGGAAACCACATTATAACATAGATCAGTAAATAGCACAATATGAGCCCTTTAATTACTACAGCAACTGTTGTACTTTTTCACTATTTTGAAAAATGGATAGGGATTCAAGAACGTCATAATCTCACAACCTATTGAAGTGGAAAAATCACAGAATTTTTAAGCATAATTATTTTCCCAACAGACCAGTGAAAGCGAGGTGCATTTTGATGTGGAGATTGCCATTAAGGTTCTGCGCCAAGCAAGTTACCATAGCCACGCCGTTTTTCTGGCTGAAAAACATGAGCATCACGAATGGTATCTGAAGATCCAACTAGAAGACCTAAAGGTATTAACAAATACATGCACATTAAAAGAAACACTATGTAACTTTTCTGGTGAGAGGTTTGACACCTTCTTGCCTGGATGAGATCTTATTGCTTTGACCAGAATGTTCCAGACTATTTGATTAAACTTTTCTATCTGCATGGATCACGCTACCAGCTTAGATCTCTGTAGAGGCAAGTCTACTCACTGTATAAGAGTGGATTATTTGATGGTGAAATAAAGGTTTAATGCAATACTGTGGAACATTCCAAATTAACCAATAGGGCTGCAACAATTAATCCACAAATCCTGACTAGTTGGCTATAAAAAATAATGGCTTTTTAATTCAATTTTTACAGACTATGAAACATACAAAAAGACCTTTTATAACAAAGACAGCTGCATCATTAGATCAAAACCTCAAAAAATAATAAACAATTTCATTTTTTCATCACTAATACTTTATACATAAATATTCTCAAATTCTTGAAGACTTAATATGTTTGTTTGACTAGGCGACTAATCATGGACCGTGATTCATCAAAATGAATCCATGACTAGACAAGTACTTAAATTATTGTTAGTTGCAGCCTTACTTAACAATAACATCAAGACAAGCAGGTGGCTGACCAATCAACAGAAAGGTTACATAGTGCATCTTTAAAGTATATATAAATGAAAAAGGGAGTAAACTATAGATTTTTTTCCTGCTTCTTCTTTAAGAACTACCAAGAAGGGCTGCGTTACATTGGCCGTCTGCCGTTTGACCAAGCCGAAAGTAACATGAAGCGTTATGGAAAGACCCTGATGCACCATGTCCCTGAAGGCACCACGCAGCTTCTGAAAGGTTTATGCACCAACTATCAGCCCAGTGGAGACGCCGTAGACACCGCCAGCCTGGACAGAGGTCGCGTTAATAAGGTTAGTTTACATTATTTAAAGTACTTATGGCAAGTTTCATGTTTTTCTAATTATTGCTTGGTTTGGTGGGATGGTACCTGTGGTGAATAGTTATCATAGTTTTACATCAAGGGCAATTTGTGGGCAAAAAAGATTGAAAAGAAAGTAGCACAGGAAGTAGCAGCGATTTACTGAAAACCTCTTCCTGTCCTGTCAAATTTCATTCAACATCAGAGACTGTTCATGTGCAAGAGAGTTTGAAGCCTTCATTCAACAAAACAAGTGGATTGTAAACATTTTTGACCCTTGTTATAGAATTACCTCTACGTATATATGCTGCTTTTGTAAAATATGGACGTAAAATAATCAAATTTGACCAAAATAAAGAAAAATTGAAAAAAAAAAAAAAATAGCCAAGATTGTTAGTAAAATCATGAGTAATAATTATATTAACTATGTTGCAATGAGCAGTCTAATCTGTCATATGCATTTTAATAATAAAACATTATAACATATGCATCCTGTAATACTCATTCAAAATCTTTTGAACATATTTTAGGCTAATTCTGAAGAGTTCATTCCCATTTTTGCCAATAACCCACGTGAACTGAAAGCCTTCCTTGAGCACATGATTGAGGTGGATCCGCGATCTTCACAAGGAGTTTATGACACTTTACTTGAGCTCCGTCTTCAAGACTGGGCCCACGAACGGGACCCCGAGGTACAGAAATATGATCTAACATGAAAATTTAAGATGCAAATAATGTGAAAAACTGATTTGGCATGTGTGTTTCAGAGGAAGAAAGTCCTGCAGGGGGAGGCACTTTCACTGTTGAGAAGTGATCACACAGTATTCGATAAGGCTTTAGTTCTTTGTCAAATGCACAACTTTAAAGAAGGCGTATTATATCTCTATGAAAAGGGCAAACTGTGAGTAGCTTTTCATTCCATATTTTGTTTTTTAATGGGACAGTTATTAATTGTGCAGTTGTTGAACACTGTGCTGAGTCACTGCAGTGTCTGAAGCAGCAAACAAATGTAATTAAGACCATTTCAAGCTTGAATAATCATGTTCTGATAAGATGGAATTGGTGAAATAGATATTGAAATCTAATAATTGTCGTTTTGGAGTTATCAGATACTCAAATGTCAGAAAAATTGGATATAAAAAAGAATTTCCAGTTTTATAATTCTGGAGGAGGGTCCGCAACCATCTCATGGAAATGTTATTACTTTGCCTGAAATGTCCAGCGGTGTGGCATTATACTTATTTAGCTCTGTGAAGACAAGTCGGTAATGCCAGTATGCCAAGTTAGATTTGCAGATAGGCGACCCTGCTCACAATAATAGTGCTGAATTTTATAAGATATTTTGAGCAATAAAACACCAGCAATCCAATACACGGAAAATTAATAACTTTAATGCCACACTATGCGACAATCCAAGCAAAGCAATAACATCTTTATGGAGACAAGAAAAGTTATATACATAGTTACATTTTATTAAAAGTTTGCCACTGTTATTCTAAAACTCATGAATGCACTTATCCTCTGTGTTTGGATGAAGGTACCAGCAGATCATGCACTACCACATGCAGAACGAGGAGTATGGGAAGGTGGTGGATGCTTGTAAACGCTATGGAGAACAGGACTGTTGTCTGTGGGAGCAGGCTCTTGGATACTTTGCTCGAAAAGAGGAAGACTGTAAGGCCTACATCAGTGAAGTGCTCCAACACATCGACCAGAACAATCTGATGCCTCCATTACTGGGTGAGAGAGGGTTGTCTTCAACTCAATATCACATCCATTTCACTGCCAGGCCAGATCAAACCACACGCTTTTACAAGCATTTACAAGGACGTGTGGGTCTGGAGCCATATCCTGTCTTCTTGATTTCCAATGGGAGTTATTGACAGGCGGATTAACCAGTCAGAGAAATGCAATGATCCATTTGTGTCAAAACAGAGATGGCATATTACAAGTAAAAAGGAAATAAAAAATAACACAGAAAAATTTGATTTATGCAGAATCAACAATCGAAGGACCAAACTGTTATTTGTCTTGGGCAAAAGAAGTTCCCTCTGCATTTGAACATAAAGAAGAGGGGTCTGATCAGGGAACCATTTACACTGTCAAATTATATGTACATGTATTCTGTGTTTATAGTGGTGCAGACATTGGCACATAACTCTACTGCCACACTATCGGTCATTAAGGATTACCTTATCACCAAACTTCAGAGGGAAAGCCAACAGATCGAGAATGATGAACGCAAAATCCGTCAGTATCGAGAAGAAACTGCTCACCTTCGTTCAGAAATAGAAGAATTAAAAACAAGGTAGGAAAAAATTTTTACTCCCTATAGGGCTGGGAGAAAAATATATATTTTGGTTTTTGATTTTATGCTTTGACTGACAGAGGACTGGCTGTGAATGTCTTGATTAAAAAGACCACATTTCATTGACAATTTGACATTATAATTATGTGATATTAAACCTCTTTTTTAATTTCAAACTAGTGCCAAGATCTTTCAGAAGACCAAGTGCAACATGTGTAACAGTCCCTTGGAGCTGCCGTCGGTTCACTTCCTGTGTGGACACTCTTTCCATCAGCACTGCTTTGAGAGTTACGCTGAGAGTGAAGCCGAGTGTCCCACCTGCACCCCGGAAAACCGCAAAGTCATGGATATGCTGCGCGCACAAGACCAGAAACGAGACCTGCATGATCACTTTAATAATCAGGTAAGCAAATGATTATAAATGCAATGGAATCAAATGTGACAGTGCCCTCTGGTGGACGCCTCACCAAAGTAATAAATATGTGTCAAAAGTGCCAATGAGTGTAGTATCCAATATCTGCTTGCATTATTCTGCCAAAATAATTCAGCAAAAACTGTGAAATAGCTGCCCTGCCCTCATTAAAACCTGCTCTGGTTTTGGACGAAAATTTCTTTTTTTTTTTTAATTATTAAAATATAAAGTCCAAATGTGTTTAATGAATCAGTCACTTTTAATGGTCTATGCCAGTTTTTATTGTCTTGATTAAGCACTTTCTTTTTGCTTATATAGATTGAGAATATGTGGTTTATATAGATTTAGAACGTACAGCCCTTGTTGAGCTCCATTCATTGTGAAGAATAGATTATAGACTAAGTTAAGATTAAGTTAATATCTTTATAAATCTTGATCACATTTTTCTAACACAAACACGTCTCTCCTCTGTTCTAGCTGCGTTCCTCTAATGATGGATTCTCGGTGGTGGCCGATTACTTTGGTCGAGGCGTCTTTAATAAACTCACACTGGTCACGGACCCTCCAGGCAGTAAAAGTGTGAGCAACCTTGAAGTCAACCTCCAGAGAGATCTGCTTATTCACACCAAGAGGAACAACTAGAAAATTCCTCTCATCTAAATGCATCTGTATTATCTGTATGAGCATCCTAATGACCTGAGCTGCCTGAGCATCTCACTTAATTAGCTGTTTATGTGACTAATGATTGACTGTCATTTTATACAGAAAAGTGTCTACTGTATAAATGTGCATAAAAGCATCTGTGAAAATGTTTTAAACACATTAAGTCATTGACTTCAACAATGCACAGCCTTGAACACATTAAGATGACCCTTAAATATTAAATATCCTTACACAATATGTTTGTGTGTAGTAGGGCAGATGAAGTTGTTTTTTATTTCTCATTTTATTATGTTGCTTACTGAAAATTTGTGGAACAAATAATAATAAATGTATTATAGTCCCAAGCAAATATTGTGCTGCACATTTAAAAGTTCCTTGCTTTATTCTATCTATTTAATAACACACTGATGATGGATGGATAAAAGTATTTGTAGAGGTGGGTAATACTGTTACATTTACAAAAGTATAATCATACAGTTCTCCTAAAATTAATTTCTCAGACCACAACATTGTACTTCTACTACTTGAATAATGTTATTCTGAATTACTTTAGCACAGTGTTGCCCCCCCTTTGCCCTTTTCCTGCTTATTTGTATAATTCAGTTGAAGCCTTGTTCTTGCACAGTGTTACCTGGAACTGTCGTCTTGTTACCGCCCACTTTTTGGACGTGGACCAATGAGGTGCGGCCAGAAGACGTTTGCCGGCGTCTGGCACGTCACGTGGACCAATCACAGCGCAGTGCGTGTAGTTATGGGCGGGCCTTAGCACTCAAACGTCAAGTCTGCGTGAGGAAGGAAGCACTGTGACACTTCAAAATAAAAGCAAAAACCTGCGAATTTTCTGCAAAACGGGATAAACGATTATCCATTTTGACAGAGATACAATTTAATAAGTAGTCATAATTGTTTTCTATTCACTATGTATTATGATTGTATTATTGTATGCCGTTTTGTCTTTATTTTAACAGTTAGCAGCAACGCTTTAACCGGATCTGCTACCTTGAATGTGTTTAACTTTACTTCACATTTTCTGGAGCAGGACTTGAGTGGATCCAATGAGCTGACGCCGCGTCCTGGGCCCAACACAGAGCAGCACGCCGGTGATAAAGGGAACTAAAAACTACTAAGCGTGGCGTTTACGAGGCTTTTGCACAACGACCAGAACAGAAAAGTATCATAAATAGCAGCGTGAATGAAGTGGACCTCTTTCATTTGCCAGTAAGAGATAGGTAAGTTCACACCACCGCAATATGTCATTCATGCTTCCATTGATTTTGAGCTAGCTATTTGTAGCTGTCAGTGTTTGTTATACAGTTTATCATTTGGTTACTCATTTGATTCTCGTTTTAAACTATTCCTGACCGGTCTATCTAAATTATACACTGATAAACATACGTGCACTGTGGAAATAGCGTCACAATGCACGGAAGTTTAAAAAAAATCCATCTTCTCAGCATCAGCAACTTTGCAGCTAAACTAGCATCTGTCTTTATCTGTCGTTTACTGAGAAGTCTATAAAAACATTTGTGTAATAAATACGTCCTTGCGTGCGTCAGTGCCATGGATCACTAGAAAATTCTGTTGTGAGGGAATTAATCAAATACTAATTCTTGCTGGTGTCACTGAAACTTGATCTTGTATGTTTTTTCAGCCATATGGTTCATTCATAATACCTGCCTTTTAAGTGATACCAAGGCCACGTGTTTGTAGAGCCTTTGTGGGTGGATTCAAGATAATAGCTTAGTAATTTTGAATGTTCTGAACCTTTGTTCTGTCCACACACCTATCTGGTACAATTACATTGTTGTTGCATGCGACTAATATACAGTAGTATTTACCAATTTTCTTCAGGTCCAGAAATTAGCTCTTGCATAACTTATAACTGTTATTTAATTTCATTTGTTGTTTTCATCCATGTAACTACATTTTTTATGCTCTATTTCCAACAGCAAGAAAAGAAAAAACTAAAATTAAATATCAGCACTACAGTAAAAATATATATAATAATACAATAAGTCCTGTGTTGTTGTCAAATAACACCTAGTGAACCAAAAAACATTATAACTTAAAGATTTTTTAACTCCCCAAATAAGCTAAAAAAAAACATTAATTATCTTATTTTGGTTGTGTTTATTGCACTGAAATATGTGTCCTTACTCTGGGCAAACTTTAATTTCCACAAACCTGACTCTTATTTGGCCTGGAGGAGGGCCGCCTCCTTCTTGTTTCCATGGAAATGTTTTTCCTCCTCAGTATGGCAAAATCCCATCTGTCTTCATAGAGAATACCAAAGTATGATTTGTATACATGCAGGCACCATCTCCAGAAAGTTACATACTGTGCCTTTAATAGATATACCTTTTTAAAATAGTCTCAACCTATTTATATATTTTTGTATAATTTTACAACAGTGTGATCATGAATATAGGAATAAAAGAGAAATACTAATTGCAAATATGAAATCTAAACAAAATTCTATAAGAAAATCTGGTTAACTGTGCATTGTTTTGCTTGTCTAAAATATTAACAAGCCAAGAGAGGATATGGAAGTGTGGTCATTTATTAACTGTCCTAATGAGTTCTGTGATTTTTCTTAGCTCATGATGGGACCGAGGAAGCTGCCAGTCTTATCACTCTTCTGCCTTGTTTTGGCTTTGTTGCCTCATGATGCAGGTAACTTCATGTCTTAATTTCTCTGTATTGGAGGCATGGACTCTAAACAAACATATCCTAATATTTATTTACTGAAGATGTTTCCTAAAATTAATAATTATAATTTGATCTTGTAGCTTCTGTGGCTGTTATGTCTGTCGATCTGGGCAGTGAATGGATGAAAATGGCAATAGTTAAACCTGGTGTGCCAATGGAGATCGTCCTCAACAAGTGAGTACTGATGTGTCCAAATGTACCACATGTTAAAGGCAGTTGGTCTGTAGGTCCTATTTGCATATATTGGAAAAGGATGAGTCATTTCTTTTCACATGTATTTCACTCTTATTTCCTTCACAGCAATTGTCATTTCTTATAAGATAACGCAGAAGTTGACCATGTAGAACTTGGAATAATTACATGTTATTAAGTGGAACAATCTACAAAGCAGTTTGATTGTGGATGGACTTTTGTGAGCTTTTGGCCATGTTAGAATGTTATTACCTCATCAAAAACATACCTGAAGTTGTGTTTTGTTTTCATTCACCCATGTTTGAGCAATCCTGGTTTATTTGTCTGTCTTCATCTCCAAAGTTCAGGATGCTTTGTTCCACCTTGTGATGTCATGAAGCAGTAGTTTTCAAGTTAACAGCTTGCTTTTACCTTTAGTTCAGTGAGATTGGCAATGTCAGGGCTGAAACAATCCAAATGATTCTACTGAAGGTGCATGGAGTTTAAAAACACAGTGGATCATTTCTTGTATCAACATCACAAGGTGCACAAAGAAGAACTCAGCCTAATTTTGAAAATGTACTGTGGGTTCTTTAAACTACAACATGCATAGATTCTTATTTTTTTTTTACATATTGTTACTTGAAAAATACCTGAATTGATCTCAAATGACTCCGTAATGGACTTTTGATTTTCTGTTTGAAGCTACAGAACTGAAAAGCCCTGCCTCTTCATGGTGGGGTCTCACTGTAACAAGCAGCAGATTTTCTTTTAGCTATTTTAACCTTACATGTATGACTTGGTGTCAAAATGTTTTGATTAATTGCATTGCATGCAAGTACAGAGCAGTGGGTGGAGATAAGGCGTAGGTTAAAGCAACCTCAAATGCAGGATCATATAGGATTACTTAAACATGCATAAATTGAAATACAGCTTTGAGTTTCCATAAACGCACTGTACAACTCAAAACCATTATTATTAGTTTTTCTCAAAGACGCTTTGCATTGCATATTTCTTTCTCCCCCATTCTCACTGTGGGGTAGAATTTTAGGTTACTTGAAATAATGTATGAAATCAACTTTTTTATGCACCAAAGGAAAAAAGACCCAAAAATTCCTTGTTCTAATGTTGATATCTTCTTCCTTCAGAGAGTCGAGGAGGAAAACTCCAGCTGTTGTGTGCCTAAAGGAAAATGAAAGACTGTTTGGTGATAATGCGTTGGGAATGGTATGACGCCTTCTTTTATTACAAATATAAATGTGTCTTTGTTTCTGTTTATAATTGTATTTATTTTATGTTTCAGTCTGTAAAAAATCCCAAAACAGTGTACAGATATCTTCAGTTACTGTTGGGTAAAAAGCTTAGCAACCCACAGGTGGCGCTCTACCAGAAACGTTTCCCTGAGCATCAGATACAAGTGGATCCTCAGCGTGGCACAGTTTACTTCAAATACTCAGAGTAAGTCTGTACATCACATGTTTTTATGTATTTAAATATGTGCTGTGTAACCTTGTAACCCATCTGCTAGTCTCCATGGTGATGTTATTGCTTTGCCTGGTATGTTCCTCAGTATGGCATTAAACAAATATATCTTGTATTTATTCAATTATGGGTCCTTTTATTTCTCAAAACTACTGCAAAAACAGACATTATTAACATGAGCAGGCCCACTTCTCCACAGATCTGACCTGTAACTAGGCCTGGTCATGTGGCCTGCTTGTCTCAGAAGAGAGTTCAATTAAATGTCGTACTGTAGAACATTCCAGGAAAATAAACAACATTTACATGGACTCAAGCAGCTTTTGGATCCTCTACCAAAAATCTACAAATTAGGGCTACACAATGAATTGAACTGTAATTTAGATTCACTCAGTGCTCAGCTAGGGTTGTTTTTCTTGAGCGTTCTACAGCCAATCTTCTCTCTGTATAAGGATGTCATCTGGACCTCAACAAAACTGTTGAAATCTTGGGTCACTTTTCAATCACAATAGCAAATGTAATATTCTGTTAGGTTTGCCCAGCACTTTATAAAGAGTGCTAGAGAAAAAGTAAATCTACAATATATTCCTTCTATCATTTCGAGCCATTAGTTCTCTCTTTTTGTTTTCCAGGGATATGCAATATTCACCAGAAGAGCTGCTTGGGATGATGCTCAATTATTCGCGTGTTTTGGCTCAGGATTTTGCTGGTTAGTTTGGTTCTAAAGAAATAATCTGATAACAGTTTATTATAATAATAATAGCTAATAGCTTAGACTTGGATCTTAAGAATGATTCAGAAGTAATGATTTATTTGTTCATGCTTTATTAGGCCTAATTAAGATATAGGTATTATAATGTGTGATTATTTTATATTATTATGACAATAATATTCTGCTTTGATAAACCCCACAGAGCAGCCAATCAAAGATGTAGTGATCACGGTGCCAGCCTTCTTTAACCAGGCTGAGCGCCGGGCAGTGCTGCAGGCGGCACAGATGGCCGGTTTAAAGGTGCTTCAACTCATCAATGACAACACAGCGGTCGCCCTTAACTACGGCGTGTTCAGGAGGAAGGATATCGATAACAATCCTAAGGTAACCATAGTCTGTGCAAGTAAGAAATTAAAGTTATTGTTGGATTTCAGATGAAATCACAGCATTCTATAGGACAATACAAATTAAAGGTGCACTGTGTAACATTTCTTGTGGAGGGTCTGCCACCTGCTCGTCTCCATGGAAATATTACTTTGTCTAGAATGTTACACAGTATAGATCAATCTATCAATCATAAGGGACACAAGCAGGTTACAGCACCACGATACATTACAATTCAGATCTGTGGAGAGTCGCCCCAACTCACAGAAAGAATTATTGTGTTCTTGACCAATGGAAAGACCTGTAATGAATACATTTAAGTAGGACTGGATCCTCTATCAGAAAAGTTGCGCGGTGCACCTTTAGTTAGTATTGTGGCCATACTGGCTTGTCAAAGCCTGATCCCACCAGATCTCAGAAGCTCAGCAGAGCCGGGCCTGGTTATTACTTGGATGGGAGACCAGTGGGAATTCCAGGTGCCACAGGGGGGCGCCTGTGGCAAAAACTGCTGTGTTTTTAGGCAAGACACTTCATCCACATTGCCTAGTATGAAAGTGGTGTGTGCGTGAGAGATGGTGGTGGTCGGAGAGGCCAGTGGTGCAGATTGGCAGCCTCGCTTCTGTCAGTCTACCCCAGGGCAGCTGTGTCTACAGTACTAGCTTACCACCACCACTGAGTGTTAAGTGAATGAAAAAAAATTTACTGTAAAGCGCCTTGAGTATCTCGAAAGGCACTATATAAATGCAATGATTAAAAATGTATTAATAATTAATACAGATGGGTGGCAGCAAAAATTAATAGGGCTAAAATGCAAAAACATGTTGTAATAGAGTGACCTTGAATTGAAAATACAGTGTTCATCATTTGTGAATTTTCCTTTTGGATATTTCATGGCAAAGTAGAATGTAATTAATAGGGAAAACTGTTTTGTTTTTGTTTTTTTTCATAGAATTTATTCCATATATACATACAAGAAAATGAATAAACAAGATAAACAAAGATTACAAGACATAGGGCTAGTTAAATGATTCAGATTGATTATTCAAGTTCAATAAAATAATAAATTGATAACATTTGCCCATTTGAAAACAGCCAGTAATGAGAAGTAATGAAAGACTGTTGCACTCATGTCATCACTGTTTTCCTACAGAGTGTGATGTTTTACGACATGGGCTCTGGAAGCACAACTGCCACCATCGTCACGTACCAGACGGTGAAGACCAAGGACTCTGGGACACAGCCTCAGCTACAGATCCGCGGTGTCGGGTGAGACTAAAAATCTTGTTTGGAAAATGGCTTCATGTTTCACGGATGAACCTGCTTGTTTCTATGGAGATGTCATTGCTCTGCCTGGAATGTTCCACAGTATGATGACAGCTGTAGCTTACATTTATTAAGTTACATGTGATTTTATAGCTCAAAAATACCTAGAAAAACAGATATTCTGAGTGTGAGCAGGGTTGCCTCTCCACAGGGCTGACCTGTAACCTGATCTGGACTAGAGACCAAATCTCCATAATGATAGAAATGTTTAATGCCGTATTGTGAAACATTCCAGACAAAGCAATATCTCCATAAATAAAAGCATTTGACAGACCATCCACCAGAAAAGTTACTCCATGCATCTTTAAACAAATTAATGTATCAATAATACTAAATCGATCAACATTTTGGCATGAAAAAGGATAATTCTGACATAGATTCTGACATGAATGTTATGTCATGTGAACCCAGCCTATACATTCCACCTTGTGCATTTTTCCGTCCAAACCTGCTCATGTGATGCATAAGGCTGTAATGTGACAGAAATGTATCTCATGTGGTTCTTCATATTACTCACAGTATTAGCTTCAGTGTGTTTGCAACTATTAAAACTGCAACAGAGATGTCCAACATGACAAGAAATGCAATGAGTTTTTAAAATATATATATTTATAAGTTACCCATGATCATGTTGTGTGAGTGCAGTTTTGACCGTGGTCTTGGAGGTTTTGAGATGGACCTGCGGCTGCGTGACCATTTGGCCAAACTGTTCAATGAGCAGAAGAAGAGCAAGAAAGACGTGAGAGAAAACCACAGAGCCATGGCCAAGCTGCTCAAAGAGGCTCAGAGACTGAAGACTGTGCTCAGCGCCAATGTGGACTTCATGGCACAGGTCTGCAGACATGTGTTCATGCCGCGTTTGTGTTTATTTTACAGAGGAAGCTAATTAATCTAAAATCTGACCATGTTCCATAGGTCGAGGGTTTGATGGATGACATTGATTTCAAAGCCAAAGTGACTCGCAGTGACTTTGAACAGCTGTGTGCAGATCTGTTTGAGAGGGTTCCCCAGCCAGTGAATGACGCTCTCACCAGTGCAGAGATGACAATGGTACAGTCCAACACTTAGTAACGCTAAAATGAACAGGTGATAATGATTTTCAGTAACACTATTTTGTCACACAGGATGAAATCGAGCAAGTGATCTTAGTCGGGGGCTCAACTCGTGTGCCGAAGGTGCAGGAAGTGCTGCTCAAAGCTGTTGGAAAGTAAGTGCAAGTCCAGATGCAAACAAGTAAGAACACAACAAGATCTTGCGAGATAAAACTGCCACAAGAGTGCCCACGAGAGAAAAAGCAACTTATCTGAGATCTTGTGACTTCCACATCCTTGAGAAGCTGTAGTTTCAAAAGGAACTGGTGTAATTTAAAAAGTCTAATGAAAGACTGAAATAAAGTTAACAAAAATGGTTAGGTGTAAATTGTGAACTGCATTCCACAATTTATTTATTAAAAATGAGCTCAAAATCTCATCTTGTCTCGTTCTTGCGGAACCAGTCTCATTACAAGAAACAAGATAATTGGAGTTGCATCATTCCACTCCTACAAACAAGTATTGTATAAAGCATGTAATTATTCTTATTTTTCAGGGAAGAGCTTGGGAAAAACATAAATGCAGACGAGGCAGCGGCCATGGGCGCTGTGTACCAGGCAGCTGCTCTGAGTAAAGCCTTCAAAGTCAAACCTTTCCTGGTCAGAGATGCAGCCGTGTTCCCCATTCAGGTTCAAGAAGAATCCATTTTACATTATGCTGTAATGTTGTCACTTCCTAAAATACGTATCCAGAGTTGTTTTGTTTCATTCAGACATGTTTGCGTAATCATTTAATTATTAGTCTGTCTACATTTCCAAAGCTGAAATGCTCTGTTCCACCTTGTGATGTAATGTAATGCTAGGTTTCAAGTAACAGCTTGTTGAGTAGAGAATGGTAATTCCAGGTCTAAAATCACCCAAATGATTGGTGATGACTTGGACAAACTTTATTGATCTACAAGGGAAATTATTTGGACACATTCTAGTGAAGGTGTATGGAGTCTGAAAACACAGTGGAGCTCTTCCTGTATTGCCACATGACATTAGTGTTTTTTGTTTGAGAGACGAACTGAGCCTAAATATGCAGGGTTTGTGTTTAAACATGTGTGAATGAAACAAATACTGGGTATGTTTGTTATGAGGAAACAACATTATAACAATAGATCAGAAAATAGTGTAATATGGGCCCTTTTTTAAAGTCCCAGTTTGTTGTGCACAGGTGGAGTTCAGTCGTGAAACTGAAGAGGATGGAGTGAGAACTGTAAAACACAACAAGCGCATTTTGTTCCAGCGGATGGCGCCATATCCCCAACGTAAAGTCATTACATTCAATCGCTACACTGATGACTTCACCTTTGAGGTCAACTATGGGGACCTCAGCTTTCTCTCTCAAGAAGATCTCAGGTATGTTTTTACTTTTAGGACATATTTATTCTCTAAAATAATAACTGTTGGATCTGTGTATATAAATCTTATTGTCTTGCAGTATGTTTGGCTCTCGAAACCTCACCACAGTCAAACTCTTGGGAGTGGGGAGCAGTTTTCAGAAACATTCAGATGCAGAATCAAAGGGGATCAAAGCCCACTTCAACATGGACGAGAGTGGTCTTCTTCTGCTGGATCGGGTAAAAATTTATGGCAAAAAATATTTTAAAATGCCAGATCAAACACCTAATCATTTAACCTGTGTGTTCTTATAACACATAGACTGATCATTGTGTATTTTTGTTCAGGTTGAAGCTGTGTTTGAAACCATTGTGGAGGAGAAGGAAGAGGAGTCAACATTAACAAGTAAGTTCATTTCATGTTTAAAAGACATTTTCATTTCCACTTCTGAGTCAAATGTGAGAACTATAATTAATCCGCTTGCACTGTTGTTCTGCCCATACTCTATATGTTATATTATTATATTCAATCAGTCTATTTTTATTTCTGTTTTTAAATGTGTGCCCTTATTTTTTCATTTAATCATAGTTTATATTCTCTACTTATGTGTTTTATGTTGCACTATACCGCTAAAACAAGCTCTAGTTTGTCAAGTTTGTACAAGTTTGTTTTCTGTTTTTTGTGATGTCTTTTATTTACAATACAACAACCTCTTCCACAGAACTGGGCAACACAATTTCCACCTTATTTGGCGGAGGATCTTCTGACCCTGCTCCCAACATAACAGAACCTGTCCAGGTAATCTGCCCTTCATTTTCTTCTTAGGGGCCATGTATTAATAGCTAGCTCATAGTAAAATGTATAATAAGTGCTTGATTACATCTTTGTTAGTGTTTATAAAGTACTTTTGAATGCATTTTTGTCTATCGTCCTATTTTGTGCGATTAAGCCTTTGACTATTTTCTTCCCATCAAGGTAGTGGAGATTACAATTGACATTTCTGTACATACACTGAAATCTTACTAAGCATTTTTAAGTGTTTGATAAATACCAACTAATCATGAAGTAACAGCTTATCAGCACACCAGTTACTATGAGTTAGTGAGTAATATGTGGTCCCTAAACATAAACTGTGGTCCCTATTGTAAGATACTTATTTTTGTGAAATTTGAATGCAAAATTGTGTTTAGGATGAGGAGGAAGTTCCCCCTGAATCTGGGAAGGACGACAAAGAGCCGGATGGTAACAATGATCAGAACGAAAAAATGGAGTTTGAGAAAAGTGATTCTGAAAAGGAGAAGACGGAGGAGGCAGGCAGCAAGACGGACGCCAAGGTACTCATGAATACACTGAACATGCTTGCATATACATAAATATATTAAAGGCACACTGTGTAACCTTTCTGGTGAATGGTCCGCCATCTGCTTGTCTTCATGGTGATGTTATTGTGAAAACATACAGTACATTCATAACACGAGTGGACCCACTTCTCCACAGATCTGACCTGTAACTTAGCCTGGTCATGTAGTCTGCTTGTCTCCATGGAGAAATTTTAATTAAATGCCATACTGTAGAATATTTCAGAGGAAAAAAAAAAACATCTACATAGACTCAAGCAAGTTTTTGATCTTCTACCAGAAAATTTACGCAGTCCAGCTTTAAGGAGATTGTTACATGGGTACATCTAGGTCTGTCATGATAATTACGATATTGACTATAAATGTTGGCTGGACTGGAACAATATATTTCTGGGTTCAGTATTTACAATGTGTGTATTTTCTTTTGATAGGTTTTTTTCTAATACAATAAAATTTAAGCTGTAGATTGTGCTTCTTATATGAATAATTATATTTTCATTCCACTCATGTCTTTTAATGATATTGTATTTCTTAAAATTGTTTATTGGGATTATTCTGGTTTATTATTGTGTGAGTTGCATAAACTACTTTCAGTATTGACATTTATTGCAATACTCTTCTTTAGCCATATTCTGTGGTTCAAAATATGTTACCATGATAAACCTAGCTACATCTGCTGAAACATGGTGTGTATCTATAATAATAATAATAATAATAATAATACATTTGCGTCTCACCAGGATGAAAAAGATGCAGAGAAGTCCGAGAGCACAGACACTGACAAAGAAGAAGACAAAAAAACCAAACCACAGAAAAAAAGTAAAATCTCAGATGAAATTTCTGTTGAACTGGTCATTCATGATATTGTGGATCCCTCTACCGATGACGTCCTCGCCTCCCAAAAGAAGTAAAGCCTCCTTCTATTTTAAACATGCGTTCGTCCCAATTTAAATGATGTAAATTAAATGCTTTGCTTAATCTTTAGACTTCAGGATCTGACTGACAGAGACTTGGCCAAACAGGAACGAGAGAAGACTTTGAATAATCTGGAGGCATTTATTTTTGAGACGCAGGTTTGTACTGGAGCCACATTTGTACAATGTTTTAAAGGAACAGGATGTAAGATTTTGATTTTAAGATCCACAAACATGATCTAACTCTGCTCAGATACAAATCTAATATAGCTTTTCTGATTTATACTTAATTACAAACACATTGGAGATTATGGCCGAGGTGTTCGGATAATCGTCTTGAGAACTAAAACACCAAATTATAATAATCATAAAGTAGAACAAGCCTCACAGGAGTCTCTTTTGGGGTGCCAGTTTCATTTCTTAATAGGACTCTGTGATCTGAATAGTCACTACCTAAACCCCAGCACCTGCAGTAAGTCATGAATCTATGCTAGTGCACCCTCTGCAGCTCAGTGAGGGAATTCTGGAGCTTACCATCTTTTGAGAATGAGAAAAAAACTTGCATGTATGCTCTATCTGCAGGGTAAGGCACTGGCAACCCAGAGAGTGCAAGCTAGATGTAGTTATTTGAATATTAATGCAAATTTCACATAAATTTAATCCCCCAGTTGGTGCTCTGCTTGAGACTAACTGCTGTTTGTTCAGGACAAGATGTACCAAGACGAGTACCAGCTGGTGGTGTCTGAGGAGGAGCAGGAGCAGATCGTGGCGAAGCTGAGAGAGGTGTCTGAGTGGATGGATGAGGACGGATACTCGGCCACCACCAAAGAGTTGCGCGCGAAGCTAACGGAGCTAAAGAGTATGTGTAAGGACATGTTCTTCAGGGTGGAGGAGAGGAGGAAGTGGCCTGAGCGCCTGGCCTCTTTGGAAAGCATGCTCAACACATCCAGTTTTTTCCTGAGGTGAGAGTCAAAAGTCTTAAGGAAGGTATACAGAGTTGTATTTTAAGTGATTCAAGCATGTTTCAGTTATCCTGTATTGTCCTGCTTGGGTGCTCAGAAATTTCCAGTTTTCACCTACCCCCATCTCCATCCATGTCCCTGTATTTACTTAGAATTATTAAAAATATTCATACTGGGTCATGCATGTTGGGTTCAAAAATGTCACGTGGCCCCTTTTCTACAGTAAAATGAAATGAAAACCTGCTGCTTTTATAAGGCCTGCTCAGTTCTGCAGTTCTGAACCACTCAAAAGTCAATCGACCAGTTTCTATTGTTAAGCATTTTTAGATAAATATTGTGGTTTTCAATGGAGAAAGAAAGTAAAATAATGATCCACATATGTTTACCGTGTAATACTTAATAACCCCAGTAAGCACATTTTCTCCTTTTAATAAAATGAACTTTTATTTTAATTTTTACAGGAGTGCCAGACTGATTCCTGAGGATGACCAAATATTCACTGAAGTCGAGTTAAACGTGTTGGAAAAAGTTATAAATGAAACAACTGTAAGTGGTCTAAACAATGCCTAAAGGGTCTATATTACACTATTTTCTGATCTATGTTATACCCAGAGCTGTTTTGTTTCATTCACACACGTTTAACACACAAACCCTGCATATTTAGGCTGAGGTCTTCTCTCAAACAATAAACACTTGCACTTTATGATGTCATGTTGAAATACAGGAAGTGCTTCACTGTGGTTTAAATTCCAGATAAATTCACTAGAATCATTTGGATAATTTGAGCCCTGGTATTGCCTGGTATCTCTACTGAACAAAAAGTAAAAGGAGCTGACATCACAAGGTGGAAGCATTTGGAGATTTAGACAGACTACTACTAACCCTACAGAATTACTCAGACATGTGTAAATGAAACAAAACACAGCTCCAAGCATTAAGTATAATTTGTTTTACCATTTTTCGCTTGACTAGGTTTTAGATTATGGGGGCCCACTATAGTCTCTTTAAATGCGAAACACCGCCTCCTTATGAGAGATGTAATCTCATTGTTTTTCCTCTTCTAGACTTGGAAAAATGAAACTGTAGCAGAACAGGAGAAGCGCTCTCCCAAAGAACGTCCAGTCCTGTTGTCCAGAGATATTGAAACCAAGCTGGGTCTGCTGGACAGGGAGGTCAACTATTTACTGAACAAGGCCAAGTTTGCCAAGCCCAAAACAAAGCCTAAGGCGAAAAACAGCACAAGCACTGATAAAAGTAGTAAAGCAAATACCACAGCAGAGGAGACGGTTATCCCTCCAGCAGCCGAGAACTCGGACAAAACTACTGGTAAGCACATTTTACATCACTGCGTTTAAAGGTGCTGTACCTGATTTTAGATTAATTAAAGACGTGAAAAACAAAACTAGTCCAGTTTTAAGGGTTTGTAGTAGTCTTAAGTTATTCCTAACCTTATCATGGTGAATAATTAGGATGTTCAGAATGCATGAGTTTATAAGTGTGTTTCATAACTTTCAGAGGGCAGAGCAGAGTTTTGTCATCATGGTAATGCTAACAACAACAAGCATGCCAACCACTCACTTCCTGTTTGCATGTAAAGATAAAGTGACCCGTAAAGGACGCAGCATACTCATTACACCATAAGAGCCGTTAATGCAGTATTTTTGAACTGAGGCAAGACGTTTTAGACCTTTTGAGAATTTTGTTCAAATACATGGTGGAAAAATGGATACAGGGCCTTTAAATAAGTTTGAGATATCTTTATTGTCCCATATCTGTACTGAGAGAATTTGTTTATTTAAATCCAGAGAGTCCAGAGGAGGTACAGCCCGCCGAGGCTCCACCCACAGAGGACAACACAGCACAAAATGAATCTGATGACCAATCACAGACACCCGAGGAAACAGGTCGGTCTAATCCCCACTCAGATGATGAAGGGGAGCTATAGTCCGTAACCATGGAGACAATATTTTAATTTGACTAAAGGACAAACAGCGGACTAACAAAAACGGACATGACCTGATTAGAGGTCCCTAAATGCACCACAGTGGTGCCAAAAGTGAATTGAGTGTCCATAAACACACTACATACACATGGTTGTCTGATTTGATTAAAATGAGTAATTCCTTTGTAATACACTTTTTGTTTTTGTATTTAACAAGAGATTAAATATTTAAATGTAATTAAAGCCATGACAAAACTCATGTCTGAGGATTTTTTTTCTATGCATGTTTTCCTTTTCTGTTCAGTAATATATTTAAATAAGTAAAATCAGTAATCAGTACCTTTTTTAAATATATATATTTTTTCTAAGCTTGTTAGCAGAATCATAATTTATAGTAAATGTATTGGGACAATTAATTTTATTTATTACCATTTAATTTTTATAGGTTTAGTTTCTATATTCATATTTTAAAGTATTTGATTTTACTGGATATGTAGCTCTGTCTATTGATTGCCTCTATATCTAGAAATTTGTAAGATTAAAAATACATAATTCTGGAAGCACTGTGTAATTTTACTTTTTTTGTTACTCTTGTGATTTCTGTTTTAGTGCTTTTAATTTCCTAATGTTTGTTTTTGTTCTCCTTTCCCAGAAACACCTGAAACGTCCGAAACTAAAAGCAACCACGTAGATGACGAGTTATAACATCTGGAATTAACAGAGGAACAAAGAAATCTCACTATTTATTGACGGTGTGTAAATGTTGAAGCTCCTCCCATTTTTGTGTTTCCGTTTTTATTTCCGTTCCCGGTAAATGAACTCCTGGAGATTATTTGTTTGGAAAAGGTTGGACACCACTCATCATTTGGATCATGTCTGACATAGCTACTGTGAGCAAACAAGCGCTCTTATCAAACAAATATCAAATAACATTTCACCGTTGTTGTTGCTAGGAAACATTATCACTATGGACACTGGATTCTTAATTTAACATTTGTCCCGAAACTGCAACTTTATGGACGCTTGGAAGGGCTCTGTTCTTAAAGAATCTTGTTGCTTGGATTATGATACTGGTCATAAATGGTAGTAAAGTAAGTTTCTGTCAGTTATACATAACTTATTCAAAAAACTTAAAAGAACATGGATAAAACTCTTAAAGATGCACTGTGCAACTTTTTGTGGTATTGATACTTTTCAGTGATGTCACGCTGGAGGTGTTCTACGTGCATCTCTATTGGCTCAATGTTCATTAGTTACCATGGTGACACACGTTGGCAAACACTGCCAAAGTTTTAAGTATTAGATGCAAGATTACTAAATTTAATGCCATACTGTGGAACATTTCAGTCTGAACAATAGCATCAGAAAATTGCACAGTGCATCTTTAAAATGAATTAAAATTGAGTTGATTTGTGGCAATTAAAATCTAGTTTTTATTTGTATGAAGTAGGTCTTGAGTGGAATTTAGGGTGCGTTCCCACTTGCAAAACATTACTTCAAAATTGGGATTAAACTCAAAGCCTCTTGGACTAGATGTGTGCGAAACCAGGACTAGATGTGTGCGAAACCAGGACTAGATGTGTGCGAAACCAGGACTAGATGTGTGCGAAACCAGGACTAGATGTGTGCGAAACCAGGACTAGATGTGTGCGAAACCAGGACTAGATGTGTGCGAAACCAGGACTAGATGTGTGCGAAACCAGGACTAGACGTGTGCGAAACCAGGACTAGACGTGCACTAAACCAGGACAAAGCCTTCATCAGGGCTAAACTGACTTCAAACCAAGACCAAACCAGAACTAGTGTGAACGCGCCCTAAATGTTGAAGTTCAAGGCATTTCAAATCCGCACAGTGTGTTTTTCCTGGTAAACAGATCCATTGGTGCCCATATGAACTTGAATTTAAGTACAAGCCGAATACTTTTACTTTTAATTAAAACTTTTTGCATTTTAAATCTTCACCAGCTGCTAAGAGTTGGACGAGGTGCACTTGAATGTTCTGTTTTTACCTCGAGCAGTTGGGTCATTTACATCAGAGTTTAGGTTCACTGTGGACTTTTGTGTCGACACAAGAAAAGAGTGAGGGGGGTCTAAATAAATGTCTGGAATGAAAGATGGAAAATATTGTTTCTAAACTGTTAATAAAAACTATGTCTTTTTATATACGTTTTTTTCCTAGAGCCTATTTTTTTCCTTGTTACTTGCTGTGGAGCATGAGGGGCTTCTAGTCCTGTTGAACCTTGGTTGTCAGAAGTATCAAATGCCAGACACTAATCGATACTAAAACTAGAATCGAAACTAGATACTCATTTGAACTGGTATCGATACTAAAGTCACATTCACAGAACAGAAATTAACCTTTTCTGAATAGTTTTTAAATGATTTTGAGTGTAAACCACATAGACTCGTACATGCCCATGGACCACGATGGAACCTACTGGACAACTGAGGGATTACACTGATATAGAAAAGGAAGCACTCTAGAATCTGTCTCTAGAATCTGTATTGGTATTGAGTCTTAGTATTGAAATCTTGTCTGAAATTTTACAAACCTGTCATTCAAATTCATGCTTCAAAAGAAGAATGATTCGTCAATGTCCTGTTGCAATTTGGACAAATAACTTTTTACAAAACCATTTATTGCTGATATGTTGTACAGTTGAGGTTTTAAATATCAGAACATAGTGACGATTAAAAACATTTGTAAATGTTATGCTTGTGTGACTCTGGTCCATGCACAATGTGTCTTAAAGGTGCACTGTGTAACTTTTCTAGCGGAGGGTCTACCATCTGCTTGTCTCCATGGAGATGTTGTTGCTTTGTCTGAAATATTCCAGTGTGGCATTAAATGTATCTATGCATTTACACAATAACATGTTTTTTTGTTGACTTAAAAACTTGCTTTCTTATTGTGAGTAGGCCCACCTCTCCACAGACCTGGCATGTAACATATGGCGCCCCAAGATGTCACCTGCTGTCTGTGTAGAGATAAATAAGCATCTAAATAAGCCTAAATCTAATGCCATACTGTGGAACATGCCAGGCAACATCTCCACGTAGAGAAGCAGGTGACAAACCTTCTACCAGAAAAGTTTCACAAAGCACCTTCAATCCCAAAAATAACAGTGATGAAGTGTTTAAACGGACAGAATACCCACATAGCTTATGAAAGTACATTTTAATGCGTTTTGATCTGAAGCCTTTGGTATGAAGCCTTTGTATACAAGTATACTCTGACCTGAAGTTGAAACACACTGAAGGCACTGAGCTGTGTTCAGGGACCAGTGTAAAATGAGGTTTAAACGGTTTACTCCTGACAGTCACAGAAATCTGCTGATAAACAGTGCAGACAATGGTGAGTCAGTGGTGAGAGCATGTGCCCACTGACCTGAAGCTCGGAACATCGATTCCTGCTCTGACCATGTTCTGTTGTTGTGTCCTTATGCAAGACACTTCACCCACCTAGTCTAGTATGACATTATTATCTTGAAAGGTGCTATATAAATCCAGTGTATCATTATTATTAAAATACATGAGGTAAAATATATTGTCATGTATACAGTTACATACAGTAGTAGGATTATGTTAAAAATGCTCAACACATTTTGTAAATACAATAATATCATTCTTTGTATGTTTCTACACATTAAGCAGCATGCAATACTTGGGAAACTTAAAATCAACTCAAATTTGTCAGTACAAATTAATCTGGAGTTTAAGTGTGTTTTTTGAGGCTTTGAAATCCATAAATTGTGTTATGATTAACTGAGTTTAAGGAGCTGGACCACGCCTCAACCTCCACTCCAGCCAACCACATCTTATCTCAGCCACGCCTTTAATTACCCAGAGGCCCTGTTTATACAGCCTATCCCAACAACACCGTCCATGTCAGGTCTCTCAACCGCCTCCCTCCCACTTGTGTCTTTCGCCCGTCCTTCAGTCTGAAGACGTCATCTTCAAGAAAGCAGGGTGTTCTGATTCAGCTGCGTGACCATTTTGGATTGGAGATTATACCCCCACCCTGACTCTCCCCCCAGCCATCACATCGATCCCCCGTCAATAAATATTGTTATCGTATTTCATTGTTGTGGCGTGGTCCTTGCTAGTGAACTTTCATTTAACAATTTGTATGTGTGTGATATTCTGAGCTCAACTTTATAATAACTGCACCTTAATTAAAATGAATAAAACATGAACAGACTTCATTCATAATGGATTAATATTTTTAAGATGGATTCAGGCTTAGTAAGTGTTTACTTAAGCAGTTAGGGTAAACTCTGAAGGTGAGCACATGAAACGGCCAATCTACGTTCCTACCCTCACCTGTGCTCATGAGGTCTGAGTTTTGGGTAAGGACCGAAATGATCCAATGACCAGATACAAGTGGTCGAAATGAGTTTCCTCCACAGAGTGGCTCGGACCTCCCTTAGAGATCTAGTGAGAAGCTCAGTCACTCGGGAGGAGCTCTCAGGAGGTGACTTGAGCATGTGTTCGAGATGCCTCCAGGACTTGTCCCTGGGGAGGTGTTCTAGGCACGTCCCACCAGGAGGAGGCCCCGGGTAGGACCGAGGACACGCTAGAGGGACTATGTCTCTAGGCTGGCCTGGGAACACCTTGGGGTCCAACCAGAGAAGAGAAAGAAAATGGATGGGTAAGTACTAAACCTGAGTCATTCTTAATAAACTATTTGTTCATTTTGAAGTGAGTTTTTATTCATGCGCTATTAAGACTATTAAAAGTATAGATATTATAGAGTGTTAACATTTTAGTGAGTTGGTGACACTGGCTGCTGTCACATGCACACTGAAAATCTGATTATTAATAGATTTCTGGAGTTATAAGATTATTGAAATGACATGTAAACAGCAATATCATTTGATTTCTTTCTGGTCACATCAAATTTTGTGTTTTTCATTGAAATAATCTTAAAGATCCAGGAATCAGATAATAACCAGATTTTGGTGGTCACATAAAAAAGCCTCTGTGTCATATCACTGGCCTGTGTCCATAGTGCCACTACAGCATTCATAAAAATATTTTTATCTATTCATCTATTCTATCTGTTCACTCCTGTCAGTCTTGCGGATACATTATTGTTTTGCCCAGTCCTGGCATCTTTTTGGCGTAGTAATTGTTGTAGACGATAAACGCCACCAGAGTCACACACACGGCTCCAATGATGCCGGCGATGATCGATACAGCCACCACAGTTTTGTCTGATGCACCTTTCCCTAAACCTGCAAAGAAATCACAATGAAATTATGTTTCAAGTGGGGCATGTGTATAAAATCATTTCAAAGGTCTTTTATTAAACTAAATTGCCTCTTGTGAGCTTTAAGCCATGTTTAAAAGTTGTTAGCATCCCAAAAACATACCTGGAGTTGTGTTTTATTTCATTCATACATGTTTGAGCTTGAAATGGATTCTAAATGATTCTAGTGAAGGTGTATGGAGCTTAAAAACACAGTGGGAGCACTTCCTGTATCAGAGGTGGGACCAAGTTGTTGTTTTGCAAGTCTCAAGTAAATCTCAAGTCTTTGACCTCAAGTCCAAGTCAAGTCCCAAGTTAAAGATGGGTAAGTCCAAGTTGAGTCTCGAGTCACTGGCCCATAAGTTCAAGTCAAGTCCAAGTCGTCTGCTTTGAGCTTCAAGTCATTTCAAATCTTTAGGTTTTTTCAATTTATATGACTTTGAAGATAAATTGAACTTTAAAAAAATCATAGTATATTTATATATGAGTTTATAAAGAGTATGTAAGAGTTGTAGAAATATAAATTTTTCCTTTTGAAATGTCTTGACAAGATCTTAGTGTGAATCATTACGTTAAGAACAAAAAGAATTCAGATTTAAAAGTGCTTTTCAAGTCTTCTCAAGTCACAGGCCTCAAGTCCAAGTCACTGACCTTCAAGTACAAGTCAAGTCCAAGTCTTAGTCCATTTTATCAAGTCAAGTCTCAAGTCCTAAAAATAGTGACTCAAGTCTGACTTGCAAGTCCCCACCTCCGTCCTGTATTACCACATGACATCACAAGGTGGAAAAAAGTGTTTTCTGTTTGAGAGAAGAACTCAGCCTAAATATGCAGGGTTTATTTCAAATGTGTGAATGAAACAAAACACAACTCCAGAAATGTTTGTGCATTTGTGCACATTATAACATACTGTAGATCAGAAAATATCTTAATAATAACTTTAATAATCTCTTGTGTTATATGAGCATTCCCCTAAGCTACTACTTTTCTGTATTTTATTTTTTTTTCTGCATTTGAAGTTTGAGTGCACACAAAATTCCTATTTTCACCTACCCCCTACCTCCATACCCCTGTACTTAATTACTTCTTGATTATTTGAAAATGTACTACTTCTCTGTACTTTACTTGCAGTAATTGAACAGATCTGACTCAAGGTTGGACATGTAAGGTTAATTAAAAGCCATTTTCAACAATAAAAACACTAATTAACTGCTAATAATAATTGGTAATAATGTAATTCCACTGTGAAGAAGCGGAGTAAGAACAAAATGTAAAACAACAATGTACTTACTGTATTGTGTAAATATTATGTTTACTAGAAAAAAACAAAACAAAAGGGTATATGGTATATCTCCCTTAAACCTGCTCTACATTAGGTTATTTCCCAGTGGTTTGCATGCAAGCACACATTTAAGGAGAGACCCTCATTGTTCTTACTGACACCTGCTGTGTAATCCAAGCCCCTCCACTGCCTCCAGCTCTGACACTTCTTTAGGAGCAGAAGAAACTAAAAACAGGATGGTAATTTAAAACACTGTCTACAATAGCTGACCTCATGCTTTACCTGGTTCCCAAGATAATCAAGAACGTTTTAAATGTTGATGGGGCTTTGTTCATTTTGTATATGACGTTCACACAGAAAGACTGGACACCTCATCTATTTACTGTAAATTAAACCGCACAACAGTGATGCTTCATGATCTTTCAGAAATATTGACGAAGTAGGATATGACTTGCGTGGCTTTTATTATTTAGAGCTAGTTCATGTTATGGAAAAACCTAAAAGTCCTAAATTATGCTGAATTGACTCTTGTGAGCTTTTCGTCATGTTGTAATGTTTTTTTATTTCCTCATCAAAAACATATCTGGAGTGTTTTGTTTCATTTACACATGTTTGAGTAACTTTTAATTTGGGCTGAGTATCATTAAGAAGTTGATACGATACATACCTCGATACATAGGCCACTATACGATACATGTCTCGAGCTTTTGATTCGATACGATATATTTCAAATCAATTCAATACGGTTCAGTAAAAAATAATGTCTAAATCATGGCTGTGATACTAAAAGTCTTTGTGAAACCACTTCTTGTACAAAGTTAATATGAAACATGCACATTTCAATCACCAAACCAGTGAAAATGTCAAATGTGTTGCGTAAACGAGTTTCCTTCCTCTAAACAAGCAACAAAACTTTTGTACTGTATCAAAATAATTTTGTAAAATATACTAAAATATATCTTGACAATTTGTCAATACAGCAGCCCATGATATCAATACTGTATCATCACATCACATTAAACGACATGATATATAGATATTTTGATATTTTTTCACACCCCTACTCATTATTGGTAGTCTGTCTACATCCCCAAATCTTAAAATGCTCTGTTCCACCTTGTGATGCCATTAATAGCTACCTTTTACATTTAGTTCAGTAGACAGTGACAATTCCAGGGCTGAAATTATCCAGATGATTCTAGTCAAGGTGTACGAAGTTTAAAAACATAGTGGAGCATGTCCTGAGTTACGGTCAAACATGTGTGAATGAAACAAAACACAACTCCAGGTGTATTTGTGATGAGGAAACAACATAACAGATCAGAAAAACCCTTTAATATAAACATGAACAAAAACTTAATAACAATAATAATAATAATAATGGATTGAATTTATAAAGTGACTTTATTAATTCACTCCATACTTGTGAATCAATAAGTCTGACCACAAGCAACACTCATCACATCCATACTGGGCAATATGGGTGAAGTGTCTTGCCTAAAGACACAAGAGCAGCTTCCACTAGAGCCACTGCTGCCCCATAATGAATAAATCTTACACCTCTTCAGTGTTGGGGAGTAACAGATTACATGTACTGGCGTTACATAATCAGAGTACAAATTATGAGTAACTATCCAGTTACTGTTTTAGTGAGTGGTAATTGGATTTGAGTTACTTTGTTGAAATAAATGGATTACACGGCGGTACTTTCCCATTTTCGCATTTTGGGCTATATCTTTTTTTTTTATATCTCATTGCCAGAAACTAAACCAGGTCTAAACTAGAGTTTAACCAATTCTAAGACCAGGACTAAAACAGGACTAAACTAGATCTAAACCAGGTCTAAAACAGGTATAAAACAGGTCTAAAAAAGATCTAAAACAGGTCTAAAACCAGGTCTAAACCAGGACTAAACGGGACTAAAACAAGTCTAAACCAGGACTAAACCAAGACTAAAACCAGGTCTAAACTAGATCTAAACCAGGTCTAAACCAGGACTAAAACAGGTCTAAACTAGATCTAAACCAGGTCTAAACCAGGTCTAAAACTAGATCTAAACCAGGTCTAAACCAGGACTAAAACAGGTCTAAACTAGATCTAAACCAGGTCTAAACCAGGTCTAAAACTAGATCTAAACCAGGTCTAAACCAGGACTAAAACAGGTCTAAACTAGATCTAAAACAGGCCTAAAACCAGGTCTAAACCAGGACTAAACCAGAACTAAAACCATGTCTAAACTAGATCTAAACCAGGTCTAAACCAGGACTAAAACAGGATTTAACAGGAGTTAACTGGATTTAACAGGACTAAACCATGCTGCGTGGACGTGTCTAATATGGTTAAATAAAGTCTGGGCTTTTTATTTTCTTTTAGCAGACAAAACATCTTATGTTACGATATCCTGGTCTTTGCTTCTCTACAGCAAATGAAGTAATCCAAAGTATTCAGATTACGTTACCCACTTTAAATAATTTATTGGATTACGTTACAAACTACATTTTGGGGTATGTAATCTGTAATCTGTAGGGGAATACATTTTAAAAGTAACCTTCCCAATGCTGCACCTCTTATACCCTATCCTTTAATTAGAAGTTTAGTAGTTAGTAAGTCTGATTCATTCTTAAGTGTTAGGGAATTTCTAGACAGTTTCTATTCTGTAATTGTTTGTGTGCTTACCATTAGATGTGAGCAGATAACCTGTGAGGGACAGAGTAAGGTTAATATGAATGTATAAAAGTTTAAATTGATTCATAATGTGGCTTTAGCTTTACCGTTATCGATGCGGATGGTGATCGGTCGGGAGGTCACCGTGGCTACATCGCTCACTGTGTCTGGATCAGTGGACCGGCGCCTCCTCTTTGTCGTGCAGTTCTGAAAGTGAAAAATATTATTATCATTTATCAATACTATTATCAAAAAAAAGATATGTAGTACTTAAGATTTTGTTCAATCAAATATTATTTTGACACCATACTTTTACTTTTAATTTTACTTTACAAATGTGTTAAATGAACATTACATGATTAGAACATTTGCACTTCTTTTACCTTTTAATATGATTTTTATATGATATGATATGATATTTTATACTTTATATGATATATTTTCAGAATATTTTCTTTGGAAATACCAAAATCTGTGCATTATTCAGTGTATTGTCTGTACAGTAAAAATCATAAATCAGTACAAGTAGTAGTTTCTCCAATTACTTTGTACTCTTGCTTATACTCTTACATAACTATTTGTGTCCCTACTTTTTACTTCTTCTTCTTTTTTTAATAATATTTTATAGTTGCATTTATTTTACTCTTACTTTAGTATAAATATTGGCTACTTTGTCCACCGCTGTTAAATGGCCCATATTTTCTGATCTGTTATAATGCTCTTTCCTCATCAAAAACATACAGGAGTTGTGTTTTGTTTCATTCACACGTTAATCACACAAATCCTGCATATTATAGTTCTCCTCTCAAACAGAAAACACTGCTCCACTGTGTTAAACTCCATACACCTTCACTAAAATCATGTGAATCATTTCAGCCTTGGAATTTACTACTGAACAAAACTTTTTTTTTCTTTTTTAGAAAACTTGAAAACTACCACATCAAGCCATCACAAGGTCGAACAGAGCATTTTGAGCTTTGGAGATGTAGATAAACTAATAGTAACTCAAACTTGTGTGAATGAAACAAAACACAACTCTGGTGATGGTTTTGATGAAGGAACAACACCATAACATGCTTTTAAGCAATATAGGACCTTTAAACTGTCTTGATGTTGCTTGAAGATGACCAGCGGTTAGATAAGATTTAGATTTAGATTTGACTGATTAATTTATTTTGGTCACAGTTATATTTTGACATTATTCCTCAGACAGTCATATTTAACATACACAGACCGAAAAGGTGCAGTTACAGTTACACACTAACAAACACTGCTAAATACGAGTTGAAAAACTTAGTATCTCCAGCTCCTGACCGGTATGAGGCTGGGGCAGATGGTGTCCACGCAGAGGCGAGTGACACAGTGCACGTAGTAGGTGGAGATGGTCAGGTTTGTGTCTTTGATAAAACGAAACGTCTCAAAGGAGAAACGCGCCACCTGCTTCTCTCCGTTGGTGCCCATCAAGGTCTGACCATCACGATTACACCTGAGAGAGTATGGAACTTTAGAGACCGTTGACAGACTTTTTATATAGACTCAAAGGGCATTTGACAGATTAATATAGTTTTCTAATTAGTACTTGGTTGTGCAGATACCTGAGATAAACATTAATTGTAATTTTACATTAGTCAAGGGGCAATTTATGAAGAAAAGTTGAAAAATGTAGTAGTAGACTAAGGGATTTCATATTAGGAATAGGAATTGATTTTCAGATTAAAAAAAAAAGTGAGATAAAAACATTATCAACATTTTTAGACCAAAATGAGGAGCCTGACAGCAACAGTTACGGAGAGAGGGCTGATGTTTTTTCAATACAAAGTGAACTGGAGCAGGAGTTGATGGAGCCAGAAGTACTCTCATGTTCACTACCTATTTGGAACGCAGCAACTATGTCCACTGTTTTCATTTTTTGGTAAAATTCTGAAATATGCTTTACATTAATGAGTGGTCTAACCTGTCATATGCATTTATAATATCAGTAATAATTATAATTGGAATACTCACCCAACAAAGAGGTCATAAAAATTAGTTGTGGAGATGAAGGGAGACGCTGTGGTATAGCATCGGTCCAGAAGAACATGGAACCTACAAGTGGGATTAATGAATAGCACTCTCAGAACATCATGATGAAGTTGTAATGATTAACCAACTAATCATAACTAGATGTCTATAAAAATAATAGTAGATGCATTTTGATCATCTTAAAGGGCCGTATTACACCATTTTGTGAACTATGTTATAATGTGTCCTCATCGCAAACATACCTGGAGTTGTGTTTTGTTTTGCTTCATTCACACATGTTTAACACAATAATACTGCATATTTTGGTGCAGTTCTTCTCTCAAAAACACTCTGTTCCACTTTATGATGTCATGCGGTAATACAGGAAGTTCTCCACTGTGTTTTTAATCCATGCACCTTTATTAGAATCATTTTGATCATTTCAGCCCTGGACTTGCCGATCTCTGCTGAACTGAAGGTAAAAGGAGCTGTGAACTTAAACATGAAATACTGCTTCATGACATCACAAGGTGGAACAGAGGATTTTCAGCTTTGGAGAAGTGTGCAGACTAATAATAAAGTATTACTCAAATATGTGTGAATTAAACAAAACACAAATCCAGGTATGTTTGTCATGAGGTAACAACTTTCTACCATGACTTAAATCTAATCATTATCTGGACTACATAGACTCTAAAACAATATGAAAAGATGTATTTGTAACACAGACAATGGCATTATTAAATCGAAATGTCAAAAAATACTGAACAATTTCTGATTTTCTACAGAATTACACTTTATTTGTAAATATTCTCCATGTGCAATATTCAGTCACCACCACATTTAGTCTTTCATTCAAAAAGTCTCAGTGAAAAATAGAAATAATTGTTTGACTTGTCAACTACTAAAATAATTATTAGTTACAGCCCTGGTTGTCTCAGTTTTAATATTAAAGGGAATAGGGTTGATACTAAATTTTGATTTCAATACCACAATACACTGTCATTTTCGGCCCTAAAGAATAGTGCAAGTAATCTTTTGTGTTACCATGTGGTCTTACACTGTAATGTGACAGATTCAGAGTCTTTACTGTCTTGGCTGTATTTTATGATGAAATTAAAGGGCCTATAATTCACTAAATGGATTTGTGTGAGCTTTCAGTCATGTTATAATGTTTTTTTTTACCTAATTGTCCTTACTGTATATGTCATTATAAAAGAAAAAGCAAAAGAAAGCATGCTTTACCTGTTTGTCAGATTGGATGCTTTGACTTCAACAAAAATTCTTGTTTTTAGTTCCATAGGCATATCCACTGGTATTGTGTACATGTTGTCCTTAAAAATGTGTAGGATGATGAATAAAAATAAATAATAAGGAAATGTAAATTTTGACTTGGTCTTACCCCAAATAGATGCATGCTTAATGTGCTGATGAAACTCCCATTAGTGTCTTTAACTGCCAGTGTAACGCCTTCCCTGTTGGAAAAATGAGTGAAAAAACATATTCCAAATCCACTTTATTTATTTAACAAAGCAGTTCCCAAAGTGCTGCATGGAGGTTATAAAATGAAAACAGCAAAAAGGTAAATTGCTAATAGTTGATCCTACCAACCTTAAAACAATAAAACCATCAAAAAATCATAAAATAGCAGTAACTAAGTAAAATAAATAAAATAAATAAAAGGCACAGAGGACCACACAACTGACATGGTGTTAAAAAGCCAAAGAATAAAAGTGGGCCATAAGAAGAGACTTAAAACACTCCACTATGGGGGCTGTTTGGACGTGGGGCAGTTATTTATCAATGCATTTATTTAAATTGATATATAAATTAATAAATAGACCAAATAAAATAAAATAAAATGGTGGTGTTGACTCTAAGTTAAGGTTGGGAAAAACCCGTGTTGTCCAGAAGCAGGTCAGTCTACATGTGATAGGAGACAGAGAAGCGTGATTCCAGCCTTAGTCAGACTATAGCTAAGAGTAATACACACCTTACAGGACAGTGACTGCACTAAGAACAAGGATACCTGATCAGTTCAAATAATATATATTTACACTCAGACGTCTTTTCTGAAGAAGAAATAAGAAACACCATTCACGACCACTTTATACACTGTGTTATAGAATCTGCTTCCCACAGAAGCCTTGATGTAATTTGCCTGTTTGCAGTTCTAAGTACAGGACCATTCATTCTAAATCATTAAAAATCACATTCATCATCACACATCATTAATTTCTTTATCTATATGTGCACTACTTTCAAACATACTGAGGACATCAAATACATGCAAATATAAGCATCTAGCAAAGAAAAAAAAAGGCTCTTAAGCAGCTCTTGAGGTCAAAATATGTCTGCTGTGTGCTGTCTAATTATGTGAGTTCTAAATAATCGAGAAGTGCACGGTAGCATGCTAGTTGTCGCTAGCGTTCCGCCACGGCAAAACTCTACTTTAGTGTCTGAGAGTTGTTAAAAGCTTGACATGTTGAATTATTTGGATACTTGGAATGCCTTCTTGGCCTTCTCTCAATGAGCTTCTTGATGAAGTCTCCTGAAATGGTTTTCACTTCAGTGGGTTGTGGTCAAGGTTCATTAGTGGAATGTGAAAAGTGTGCAAAGCAGTGATCAGAGCAAAGGGTGACCATTTTGAAGGATTTTAATTATTATAAACATGTTATTTCAAATTTTTGTTTATTTTTGTTTACCGTATTCCATGTTCATTCATAGTTTTGATGCCTTCAGTTAAAATCTACAGTGCAAATACAATTCATTTATATTTTTCTATCACCCAAAAGTCCCAACATCAGTCTCTTCGCAGGTCTTAACAAAATTGCAAAAGTTACCAAATCACATAGAAAAACATATAACTGGAAGTGTAATTTGCATGAATATATTTTTTGCTATAGTTAACTATCACTTACACATTCATCTCAGTGTTGTTGACCAGGTACTGCAGTGGATAACGGCAGGAGAACATGTACATGACCTCCTGGTGGTAAGTGATGGCTCCGTTGGTGGGGTCATGGGAGCAGATTGAACCGGAGATGTTGATGAACTGAACTTTGGAGAAGTCTTGAAACAGTCCGGTTCCGGCTTCGTGAGTGATCTATAAAAACAACATTTAGTCCACCTGAGGTTACAGTTTGCTGACTGAGAGTTTACTGCATAACTTGAGAAAGAATGTTCCACAACACTGCCCATACTCACCCATTCACACACACATTCATACAACAGTGTACACACAGACTAAGGGGATTAAGTGTCTTGCTCATGGACACAGCAGCAATCTATGGGAACAGGAATCACACCGCCAGCCTGTGGGTCAGTGGATCTGTCCTCTCTACCAGTGATGTTTATGTTGAGAGTGGGATTTGAACCTCCAGCCTTCTGATCAGTGGACAAACTCTAGACCTACAGTGGGCAGCCCAGGGCCTAGTTAGAGATTATGAGTCTCAAAATTCAAATATCACCAAAACTTTATAAAGAATTCTTACTAAAACTGTACTTATAAACCTCACAAACCTCAAACACATTTAGTTCTCTTCTCTCGGAGCTCAGATTTCCTTCTAGATCATTTATGAAAAACCTCTTAGACTCTTAGACTTAGAGCTTTTAGACCAAATAAATCCATGTCAAGTTGTCTTTTTATAGCTCACAACATAACATGGAAAGTCTCGTACATTAAATTTTTGTGTGCACACTTAAAAATGGGACTCCAGATCTGTGGAGAGGCAAGCCCGCTCACAGAAAGAATACAAGATAGATAAAGTTAATGCAGTAGTGTGGAACATTCCAGACAAGCAATAGTATCTCTATGGAAACAAGCCAGGCAGCAGACCACCCACCAGGAAAGGTATGCGAAGACTAAACCAAGACTAGACCAGAACTAAAACAAGACTAGACCAGGACAAACCAAGACTAGACCAGGACAAACCAAGACTAGGCCATTAATAAACCAAGACTAGACCAGGACAAACCAAGACTAGGCCATTAATAAAACAAGACTAGACCAGGACAAACCAAGACTAGACCAGGACTTAATCAAGTCTAGACAATTAATAATCCAAGACTAGCCCAGAACTAAACCAAGATTAAACCAGAACTAAACCAAGACTAGACTAGAACTAAATCAAGACTAGACTAGAGCTAAACCAAGACTAAACCAGGACTTAATCAAGTCTAGATCATTAATAATCCAAGACTAGACCAGAACTAAACCAAGACTAGACTAGAACTAAACCAAACCTAAACCAGAACTAAACCAAGACTAGACCACAACTAAACCAAGACTAGACCAGGACTTAATCAAGACTAGACCATTAATAACCAAAGACTAGACCAGAACTAAACCAAGACTAAACCAGAACTAAATCAAGACTAGACCAGAACTAAACCAAGACTAGACCAGGACTAAACCAAGACTAGACCAGGACTAAAGCAAGACTAAACCAGAACTAAACCAAGACTAGACTAGAATTAAACCAAGACTAGACCAGGACTAAACCAAGACTAGACCAGGACTAAACCAAGACTAGACCAGGACTAAAGCAAGACTAAACCAGAACTAAACCAAGACTAGACCAGAATTAAACCAAGACTAGAACAGGAACAAAACAAATCTACATTAGGAGCCAAACCAGATTAAGATTGAACACACCCTAACATAAATTTATGTTGGACTGGATCAGGCCTAAACCAAGACTAGACCAGGACTAAACCAAGGCTAGAATGGGACCAAACCAAATCTACATTAGGACTTAAACTGGTCCCAAACCAGAACCAGCCTGAGCACCCTGACATGGGTCACATTAACTGCCCTGGTGCTGACTCACAGTTAAGCTGCTGCCACACTCGGTGATGGCCTCCTCTGTGATGGAGATGTTGAACTGGAGCTTTGGGGGGTTGGAGTTCCAGTCGGCCACGCCTTTACACTGGGGCATGGAGTGTTTCGAGTTCAGAGCCATCAGGGACTCGTTGTATCCATTAAAAAGAATGGGACACAGGAGAATGGACAGAGCCACCCTCTCAGAGCCGCAGGTTACTTCAATGTCGGAGTTAGCTACAGATGAGATGAAATAAGTATTAACTATAAGGCATTTATAAAACTTGTATTGTATATTACTGTTGCACTTTAGTTTAGAGATTGCATATTATTTACAAATTTTATAAGTAAATGTCCAGTGACAAAAAGCATTAATAGGTACTTTATAAATACTAACAGTGACGCAACTAAATACTTACTAATATTAATCCTTAAAGGGGCTATATTATGCTAAATTGACTTTTATGAGTTTAAGATGAGTTAGAATGCTGTTAAAAAAAATTCTTACATTCTTTCATTCTCATTATGGTTTATTTTGGACGACCATAAACGGTAAACTTTTGTGCCTTTGTTAACATTATTACTAGTTTGTACGACCATAAACGAAAAAAAAAAAATTAAAAAATCCTTACGTTCTTTCATTCTCATTGTGGTTTATTTTGTACGATCATAAATGATGAACTTTTGTGCCTTCATTAACATTATTTTTAGTTTGTACGACCATAAACGAAAAAACAAAAAATCAAATCAAAACTGGCATCTTTTAAAAAAAATTCAAAATTAAGATAAGAACTAAGAAAAAAAGTGAGTGTATTTCTTTTAGAGGGGTTAGTTTATGGAACAACCTGAGTGATGATTTTAAAAAGTCCAACACTGTAGAAGCCTTAAAAAAAAGAGTATGAAGTGTTATGTTTATAAGGTATAGATCTCTGGAATGAATGAATTATGCATTAAATTTTGTTTGTTTTAATTTATATTTTGTCTCTTATAAGTACAGAGAGTCGTAAGTGAAGTTGTAAATGCAAACTTGTTGTTCATGTGCTGCTTTCTTTCTTGGAATTCTGTTATTGTTTAATAGGGTTTGGTATTTTTGTTTCAGCTTAGACCCTTTCTGTCATGATCCATGTAGCTGTGGTCTGTTTTCTTATAGTTTTGTAGTTTGGCATAAAGACCCAAGACCCCCGAAAAAAAAGAATGCTGTAACCTCCTTAAAATTACACCCGGGATTGTGTTTTGTTTTACACGTCTCTCTAGCCCTTTATTACTGTCAATATCTCAAAACCTCTCTAAACTCAAAATACTCTGTTCCTTGTCATGAAGTGGTAGTTTTCCTGCTGGCCTTTAGTTCAGTAGAGCCTGGCAATTGTAGAGCTGCCTGAAATGATCAAAACGATTCTAGTAATGGTGTGTGGAATGTAAAAACACAGTGGAGCACTTCTTGTATTACCATATGACATCACAAGGTGGAACAGAGTGTTTTCCCATTTGAGAGAAGAACTCAGCCTAAATATGCCAGAATTTGAGTGTTAAACGTGTGAATGAAACAAAACACAACTCCAGGTATGTTTGTGATGAGGATACAACATTGTAACATACTGTAGATCAGAAAATAGCGTAATATAAGTGCTCTTTAAGGTTAATTTGGGCGTAATTATTATAAAGTAAAACCCCAAAACACCTATGTTCCAAACAAAGCAGATTAAGTATGATAAAGGTGTAAAAACACATCCCACCCTCTCAGGTAACCTCCATTATAATACAAATGTGCTGAA